GATAAGGTTAATTCGTCTATAGTGCTTATAGTGTAGAAGAAGGGATTTGAATAGTATGAAGGAATGTGTATAGGAGCAGATAAAGTATGTATCTAAAGTGTAGTGTAAGTTACAGGTGATAGTCACCTCCCGGGCTCATAACTATGATACGCTATGGAGAAGGTTGTTCAAGTGCCTTATATTATTACAAAAGAGATAGCCGTTGAGGCTCTATTTATGCGTTCTTGATCGTATGATCCTATCCTCTTAGAGCCTTCCTCTCTAATTTCCTATGTTCCGGGTCGTTTACCTCCGGTCTCACTAATTTCAGGTTCTCACCCTTCCGGTGTTACCTTTTCACCGCTAACGGCAGAATCTCAATCGAGCCTAGCCCCGCTGTAAGGTAGGCTCATCATCACACGTCTTTATTCCCTCAAGGCCCGCATCGGGTCCATTGATTCGATCCATTCCGTTAAAGAACAAAGAAAGACCAGGACTGATGGTCAATGGTTCTACAGAGACGCCGGAAGAGTACCTCCTTTCCATCATGTTCATCAAACAATTCTCATGAATCTATCTTGATGATTGCGGCTGAAGGGCAAAATCTGCCATTAAGCCGGGGAAACTTGGATCAAATCGACCGGTCTAGGGTGACCATTTTTGGGTGCAATGTGCTGGCGTTTTCAACCACGAGTTTGGAAACACAGCCAGATGGTTAGCCAGACCACTGCTTCTTACGGCCAACACCGACCTCAATGCTACCTAGCAATCGATGAATATTGAAGGACCTATAGCACGTACTCCGAGAGTACGGGATATCCCCATTCCGCATGAGGCTCTTTACTGGTATTGGCAGAATACAAGGCGTACTCTCGAACAACCCGCCTTGCAGGTTTTAGGAGTTCACAGCGCCACAAGTCATGGGATCGTACTCCGTCCTTGGATACCCCGTATTCAAATTTTGGAGAACTTGGATTGAAACAGCATTCGGGGTGCCACATTTGGTTAGCGAATTGCTCAGAGGATGAGCGGGAGACTACCTGCAGCTTATGACCTACGGACACGACCTTTTTGCGGGGAATGGGCAGTTCTGGAAGAAGTGGCGGAGAGCCGTCTCGTCTGTGAACTTGAGAGGCTTTGCTAGCTTGCGGTTGAAGGCCACTGAGGGTGAGTGTATGATTGTCAGCTTTGGTCGATGAAGGCATGTTCTCCCTCGTCGTTCTCATAACTTGCTCAGTACAGTCTGGTTCAGTTGTTGAGATTCCCTGATGGATGAGTCGACCTTGAGTCAGCTCCTGTCGTTGCCCCTTGTCGCGTTGACGATCCATTGGATCACGTCGACGGGCTTATCACTGTTGCCGAATTTCTGGCCGCTCTCCTGCTGCTTCACTCGCTCCATGAACTAACCACGAATGCCTTTTGGGCAACCCACAAGTGTTTGTCTGGCTTCTACTTGCTGTCTAGAAATGGCGAGATAAAAGGACGACCATGAGGGTGGAAGTGTCGCAGTGTTTGGGCGACCACAACTACGTCGTATTAGTGCGGCGCAGCGATCGTGGACATTCAATTTGAAATGACCCTCACTAAGAATGCGCTGCTTGATCCAGTACTCGGCATCTTCGTGAAGGGGCGATGCGAGCTTGGCAGATTCTGGGACAGCGGACTTTTGCACACCTCGATATGCATGTCGCTATTGAAGACCACATTGGCTTGGGGTAAGGTCCCATGAGCCTCTCTGATAGCCCATCTGTCACGTTGAGTGTTCCCTTGCGGACACTTTTGTTGACTTCCTCGATGTATGAGGGACTCAAGACCAATGGCTCCTCGTTGAGAGCCTGCACCTTGAACATAGGATCCCCTGTTCTGTTCGCTGTCTCAGCATGTCTCCTTGGCTTCCATCGCATCTTCAGTACATTCTCCTTGAACTCCCGCTTGGCATCGGCAAGGCCAAGGTCAAAGAGACACCTGAGACAAACCGGGTGCTTGCCAGCTCTGGGGATATTCCGCAACGTGCGCGCGGTCAGGAAATAGAAGTAACGCCAGCATAGCAGTGTCAAAGTGACATGGGAAAGAACCAGGCCCTGAGCCTGCTCCCGCTCCGTCAGGTTGGGAAAAGTGGCTGCTCATTTGTCCATCGTTTGTATCGCCTTGAGACCTCGTCAACAGGCGTGAAATTATGGCTAAAACAGATTATCCACCGCAGCTATTGGCGTACTACGAGACCCGGAGCGGCTCGTCGACGAATTTTGACGGCAAGGATGGAGTCATGGACTCACATGGCTCGTGCTGGTCACGCTGGTGACTGTCTGACTGGCTCGTGCTGTTGAGGTCTGGATGCAGCCCAACAAGGGCAAGCCGCCTGTCTCTGTGCACTCGAAACCCTGCATTCAGAACTAATGCTCCCGTGTAATAGCTAGTCAACTCAGGGGCCCGCTATCTCCGCCTAGATTTTCAAAAAGAAGCTCAACATGAGGTCCGTTTTGACTCCCAGAACGTGCAGGGCCCAGGCCACGGATGCCGAACCCTGCATTGCCCAAATAGGAAATTTGCTTTCCCGAGCGCCGAATGACGTCCGTGTGAGCCGGACGTTGCTGCGGAGGGAAGCTTGCTAAGAGATAGACGGGACGACTGTCGGAATGCAAGGTGAGGAATGTATGGAAATCACCAGATATAGAGGTCAAAAGGACATCTGTATATGGTATGCAACGTGTAGCATGTCTGGTCCGGACTCCGCTAGCCCGAAAATAGATTATACCACACCTTAGGCCGTACCATAGTCTTCAGTTCATGGTTCAGTGCAATCGTCATCAGAAGAGAAATCATCCGAAATGGGAGAAGTCAAGTCTCTCGTCAAGTCGCTGATGCAGCGAGCGTTGCAGTACAATGATCGCGAGACAGGCTTCGCCACTATGGGTGCTGCACCCTACGATACAGCCTGGGCGGCTCTCGTGGCGAAGGAGGTGAACGGAACAAAGCAGTGGATATAACCCGAGTGCTTTGAATACGTTTTGTGCACAAAGTCCAGCCCGGGAGGATGGTAATGGACAGTCGGTTCACATTTGTCCAGCTGCGATGTCGCGACAACCAATTACGTTGGCTTTGAGATCAGCGTGCCTGCAATGCTTGAGTTGCTTGAGCAAGAGGATGATGCTGGTTTCTTGGTCTTCGATTCCGACGGCAGAGCTCCCCTAAGGAAGGTTTACCAGGGTGATATGTCGAGATTCGACCAGAAAGTCGATACGGATCACAGCGCATGACGGTCCTCCGCTCCCTTGAGTCCTTCATAGGCAAGATCGACCTTAAGACAATATCGAATCACGAGAAGGGAGGCTTCGTGTTGGGCTCACCCTCATCCACAGCGGCATACCTGATACACTCATCAACCTGGGACGAAGAGTCGGAAGCCTACCTTAGGATAGCTGTTAGACTTTCCACGGGCCAGAACACAGGAGTCATCCCAAGTGCATTCCCTTCTACTTACTTATTTTGAGACGTCCTGATTGCTGTCGACGGTGTTGAGGGCTGGGTATATGCCTGCTGAACTGGAGTCAAGCGAGCTTACACGGATGACCGAGGTACTACGCGGGGCTTTTGAGCATGAGGGTGGCGTGCTGGGGTTTCGCGATTCTTTCGCTCCCGGGCACGGTTTCAAGTTTGTACCCTAGTGATTACGCCCCCCACAGTCCCCTTCTGTGAGCTTGATGTGGACAACGTCGCCAGAACGATTACAGGTCTCATGCAGCTGGGACACGCCCCTAGCCCACGAAAGCTCATAGAAGTCTTTGAGGCCCCAACTGATTTCCGCACAGATGATGGAGCGCGGGAACTGAGCCTGACTGCCAATTGCAGCACCTGGGAGCGAGACGCATGTTGATCTATTTTATGTTCTGCGAGGAAGTCGGCTCGTGTGGGCAGGTGTACGTGGTGTGTGACATTTCCGCCCGGATTGGAACATAGTGAGCGAGGTAGAGACATTCGTGTTTCCAACCCTTGGGTCGATGCAGATGTTCGTATCAGTGGCCAGACAGAACAATCTAAGAACTTGAAGCACTGTATCTAGCCTTTGTCATGAGTTGATGGCTAGGCGTGAAAGAGCTGCAACTTGAAGTATTTAAAACTACATCCGCTTAACTTGACCTGACAGCAACTAGTGTCCACCAAGTCCGCTCTTCTGATTGTTATAAGCATTGCTCTCAATTCAATCTGAAATATCTTACTACTTCTACTTTCGATATTAATAATCAGAATTATATGAACTATGCGCTCACTCCATCGCTTTTGTGTAGTTCCAGTCATAATAGTTAGCCAACCAATTTTATGTCATGCCACGTAAGGTATTTAATCTACAACATATATCGACCAGCGTGTAGTATAATCCTGGCTCGTCATCAAAATTGGTCCCTCCAGCCAATTGTCGCTCAACAAAGCAGTAGAACATCACATGCGTCGGAAGTGCGGAAATAGAACGACGAGAGAGCATGATAGGGTAGGTCAAAGTCGCATCCACAAACACAAGATTTAACGTTGGCCGCCTCCAACGGTGTCAAAGCTTAATATGATACACAGCCAAATAAACAGCGTGCACATGCAATATTTAGGACCATCCAGGACGAACATGCGATGGAAATGCAGTCATTTCGGGGCATCCGCGAAGGAACCGATAAGATCCAAAGCTCAGGCGGCGTGCGCGCAAATCTCGATTCCATGCAAGCCGCGGAGATCGCGTCATCGAACCCCGACATGTCGCAGCTCTCACAGTAAGCATCTCGCTCATTCCATCTTCTATAGAGTAATACTTCTCTTGCCTCTCGCGGAACAGGGGGCGAAGGATCTTCAGAACTGTGGAGCGAGCCAACAGCTAGGCGCCGATCTCCCGCTTCCATCGCTCCTCATCCAAGTACTTGAAGAAGCGCATTGTCCAGCGACACGCTCGCTGCGACTGCCCCGTCCCCATCCATCCAATGTCTCTGCGCTATTCGACCTTTGACGATACCCCGCGACGACTCACGGACGACGACATCATGGGCGCTGACGACGATCCCAAGGGGACGCCGCCCACGTACGACCCCAAGGGCGAGCATGGCCCTGTCGCGCCGGTCTCTGGTGTTGAGGATTCTGCGATCATACCAGCGGGCGTGCTGGATCCCGTGTACGACGCCAAAGCACGTGTGTTGAACCGCGCAGTGCGTCACATCCACGACCTGCTGTCTCACAGACACAAGGCAAACTAACGAGATCCAGATCCAAGACATTGGCATGGGCTGGTACCAGTGGCAGCTCTTCATCGTAGTTGGCTTCGGCTGGGCCGCCGACAACCTCTGGCCGATTGTCACCTCCCTCGCCCTCACACCCATTGCCAACGAATTTAACCCTGCGCGCCCCGAGGTCTTCACCCTCTCGCAGAACATTGGCCTGCTCATCGGGGCGGCCTTTTGGGGGTTCGGCTGCGACATCTTTGGGCGCAAATGGGGCTTCAACCTGACGTTGGGCCTGACGGCGGTCTGGGGTCTCGTGGCGGCTGGCTCGCCCAACTTTGGGGCGGCTTGTGCCTTTGCTGCCCTCTGGTCCTTTGGCGTCGGCGGCAACCTGCCCGTCGACTCGGCCATCTTCCTCGAGTTCCTGCCCGGCTCGCACCAGTATCTCTTGACGGTGCTGTCGGTGGACTGGGCGCTGGCGCAGGTGGTCACGAACCTGATCGCGTGGCCGTTGCTGGGGAACTTGACGTGCCAGCAGGACGCGGACACGTGCACCAGGAGCCAGAACATGGGCTGGCGCTATTTTATTATTGCCATGGGGGGCCTGACGCTGCTCATGTTCTTCATCCGCTTCGTGCTCTTCACCATCTTCGAGTCGCCCAAGTACCTCATGAGCAAAGGCCGTGACGAGGACGCCGTCCGCGTCGTCCACGAGGTCGCGCGTCGCAACGGCACAACGTCCGAGCTGTCCGTGGAGGATCTCAAGGCCTGCGAGCCACCAGGCTACGTCCGCAACACAGACGTGCGCACGACGCTCAAGCGCCACCTCGACAAGGTCAACTCGAACCAGATCAGGGCGCTCTTTTCCACGCGCAAGCTGGCCCTCAGCACCGGCCTGATCATGGCCGTCTGGGCGCTCATCGGCCTCGGATACCCCCTGTACAACGCCTTTTTGCCGTATATCCAAGCCACCCGGGGCGTCGAGTTTGGTGACGGGAGCACGTACATCACTTACCGCAACAACCTCATCATTGCCACCCTCGGCGTGCCTGGTGCGCTGCTTGGCGGCGTTCTCGTCGAGTTGCCCCATGTCGGTCGCAAGGGCGCACTGTTTGGCTCGACGGCTTTGACAGGTGTCTTTCTCTACTGCTCGACCATTGCGCACTCTTCGACAGATTTGCTAGGATGGAACTGCGCGTTCAACTTTACGAGCAGCATGATGTACGCTGTTCTCTACGGATACACGCCCGAGCTGTTTCCGACCCCGCAGAGAGGCACAGGCAACGCGTTGACCGCAACGTGCAACCGCATCTTTGGCGTCATGGCAGTACGTTTCTTTTTGTGAGACACTTTGAACCTTTACTAACGCAGGCTTAGCCCATCATTGCTATGTTTGCAGATCTGGAGACGTCGGCACCTGTCTATACATCCGGAGCGCTCTTTATTGCCGCAGGCCTTTTGGTGCTGGCGATGCCATATGAATCGCGAGGCACGGCCGCTTTATAAAAAAGAGAATCATACATATCTCAATCCTCGTACACAGCAGACACGGAGGAGAAGTTGGCAGAGTAGGGGGCTAAGGGTTGGGGTCACTTTGGAAATCTGGCTAACGTGGATTCACATTAGGACACAACTGCCTTAGGCAGAACAGTTGGTAACAATCGAGGAGCCTCGTGCTCCTCTCCCTGCTCCCTGGTCATCCAGAGCCGTAGACAAACCGTCGATGCGCAGTAGCGACACGTCCGTGCATGACATGCATGTAGGACGGACACAGTGATACTAACCAAGTAGTTGGCAGGTCATGATAGATACCGGTGAATGAGATAAATGTCTTCAATGGTCCCAGCGCCTCGCTCATAGGCCAAATGCTATGCAAATCATACATGTTCGTTATATAACTCATCCATCATGGCACCATTTTGATCCTCCCCTCCAACACTGGCGCAATCGTGCGTGCCCAGTCCACACTCATAGCAAGGTCCACGTTGGGATCGCACGCGCTCTCCTTGAGACCCGCCTTTCTAGCCCATCGCGCAAAGAACTTCCGCATGAGCAGGACTTCAAAGTCCATCTTGTCGTCGTCTACAGCATCCGGGTCATCATCCTCGCTGTCCGAGTCCGCGTCGTCGTTCACCGGCGCCTTGCTAAGTCCGATTCTCGACTGAAGGAACTTCGTCCACTCGTCTCCCGATTCAGGGGCCGCGACCTGCTCTGCTGGATTCCGCACCGGTGGGCGTGCTTTCTCCGACTCGTCGCTCGCGGATGTGTTGGTGATGACGGGACTGAGCGGTGTGCATTCGCTCGTGGCCACGTCGCGCCAGTGGTCGGGCAGGTTCTTCCACTGCCCGACGGTGCGAAGGCCTGTGAAGTACTGGCGAAGCATGGTGGAGATGAGAATGCCGCTCTCTTCGTCGATAATTTCCTCCGCTTGGCCACCCTCGGATTGAACGAGGAGAGACATGTAGCCATCTGCGCGTTGTTAGCATGTTCCCGCAGTACTACGCGAGAACCACTCACCCTTTCCTCTGCCCATGTACCCCCTCGTCGCGAGCTTGTACTTCCTGTCCTTCTCCCACTCCTCGCCATTGATCTTCAGTGACAAGATCCTTGAGCCGCTTTCCCTCCTGGGATCAAACTCGAATTCGATTCCCGACACCTGAGGAAATCTCCCTTCTAGCGCGGGATACAGCCACACGCCGTTCTCCAGCGCATCCCAGATCATTTGTCCCGTCACCCTCAATAGCACAACCGGATCTTCAAAGGGGAAACACGTCGTGATATCCTTGATCCGGATCGCGCCAGGCGGATAGATCTGTCCTCCTCGGATGGTCCCGGACGCCATGATGGTACAGTCGGCGCCATGATGCTGGCGCATCACATCACAGACGAAATTACCCATGTTGGACTCTTTCATCCGCACTGTGCTGAAGCGAGCGTCGAGAGGCGTCGCCGTCCAACCCAATGGCTTCGACAATGGTTGTTTTAGCTTGGACGTCAATTGGCCGACCAATTTGACAGCAGCAGGGTCTTCTGGGATCTCCGACGTCACGTCTCTCCTGGTAATATCAAAGTCCCATCGTCCGGCGTCGTTCCTCCATGCTTGAATGTAGCTCATCTGCTGAAAGTCGGAACCCGATCGAAGAACGTGGGTGCCTTTGATCAAGGAATGTGAGTAGTGGTGGTCGTGTCCTCCGAGTATAATGTCCATCAACCCATCCGTCTTCTCTGCAAGCTTATTGTCATTCGGTTCGCGTTGGTGACTGAGACAGATGACAATATCGGCACCTTGCTCCCGCAGTCCGGGCACCAGCTCCTTGGCCGTTTCGCTTGCGGATTTGTAGATCAGGTTCGGTGGCAGGCTGTTGATGGTCGCCAGCCACTCGCGCTCGCCAAGGCCAATGAGACCGATTTTGAAGCCATTCGAGGAAGTGAGCATGTGTGTGCGTTTCGCGTTGCCCAGGGGGACGTCGGTGCCTAGAGCTGGGTCGAGGACGTTGGCGAGAAGCCAGGGAAAGTTCGTCTTGGAGGCGAGGTTCTCGAACTGTCGGACGCCAAAATCAAAGTCGTGGTTCTAGAATTGGTCAGCTCTGGACCATCACACAGAGGAGACATGGGTGCAGTAATACTAACTCCCACACAGGCGCAGTCAGTCCCAATCGTGTTAAGCACCGGTACCATGTGCCGCCCTTTGGTGACCGTACTTTCCAGGCTGGGGTTGAAGACGTCACCAGAGAAGAAGGTCAGAAGCTCGGGCTGATCTTTGAACTGTTTCCCCGACTGGTAGTCCTTGATGAGGCTCATGAAGCGCGCAAAGCCGCCCACTGGCTCGGCGCTGGACGGATCGACGTGGTAGACATCGTTGTAGTGCAGTATGCGCAGGTCGGGCGCGGCCTCGTGTGGTGAGGCATGTGTCTTGGAGGAATTGGGCGGTATCTTCTGCTTGGAGGGCATGTCGGGTGTGCTTCTCAGGTAGAGCGGAAGTTGGGAAGTGTCTTGAGAGAAATGAGGAGGAGAGATGAAGCTGTGTTCGCGACGCAATGATGGAATCAGCCCATCGCTTGATGGAAGCTGGAAGCTTGAGGGGGTGTGGAGGGGGCGGGGGAATTACAGTGGCGGGGCAGCGGAAACTTGCAGCTGACCATTAACGACACGGGCGCTGTGACTCGCTGTAGCCCCTGGAAAGTGCTCCACCAGACGCGGGAGGACCCTGAACAGATGCTTTTAGGTGGGATTTATTCTGCGAATGATCGTGGAAATGTTATCCTCATTCCTTATTCCTTGTTCTTTCTCAAACCTTCTACAAACTTCTCACCCGTATCAGCGCTTGGACCCCAATGTCAACCCCAGCTCTTCCACAGTCTGATCCCAGATCTTCTCACCCGCCGCTCGTCCTGTGCTAGTGTACATGCAATCTGGCCACGGCTTGATCACGCCCTCACTCACAAAGCTGCCATGCGACTCTTCCCCAGCCAGCACAGCGAGCAGATTGGCCTTTGCACCATCCTGTATACTGCGCCCTACGGCCTTCTTGAACAGCCCGAACAGCAACGCGCCAATGCCCTCGGCAGCGCTTGTCCCCATGTTGGTGCCCTTGCAGAACCCAGGATTGGCCACGTTGAGGATGACATAATTCCGGTCAACGCTCTCGGCGAGTCTCGTAATGCCTTGCTGTAGGAGAAGCTTGGTCTTCATGTATTGTTCGCTGGCATCTGCCGTGGGAGAATCGAGATCCCACAGGGACGCTGGTAGTTTCGCCCAGTACATGGTGTCACTCCCCACCACCGTCAGCCGTGCTGGGTCACGACCTCGTCTTTTCGTGGTGAGAATGGGCACCAGCAGAGAGGTGAGTAGTACGGTGGACAAGTAATTGACCTGTAACGACAATTCGTGCTTGGTCTTTTCCGCCTGAGCATATGTGACGAGCTGGACGCCTGCGTTGAGAATGGCAATGTCCAGATGCTGTAGCTTCTCGCAGTCCTTGGCGAACTGCACGACCGACGAGGGATCGGTCATGTCCAAGATCATGACCTCCACAGTGGCATTGGGGAACTCCTTGCGCAAGGCTTGGGCGGCGTTTTCGCCTTTTGACTGTGAGCGAACGGCGAGGATGAGATGAAACAGTTGGAGTGACAGCATCTGGCGGGCAAGTTCGTAGCCAAGACCAGTGTTGGATCCTGAGACGACTGCTGTTTTGTTGGCGAAGTTTGTTGATGGGGGAGTAGCGGGGAGACGAGCAATGAGTTGTCTGTGGAGGAAGCCTGGGAATGAGGTCTCCCATTTCGCTTGGGAGTGAAGTTTGGAAGACATTGGTGAGATGGGTAGAGGAGTCTCGGTGGAAGGTGTATGAATTGTTCTGTGCTGGAGGAAGATGGCAGTCACTGGTGTAGGAACGGTGTCATGTTGGGACTATATATGTGTAGTCGCTGCCAGCGCACCCACCCACTCATTTCACTTCCGGAGCCATATGTTGATTCAAATTTCAATATATGATTAGAGTGTCTAGATCACAACGCTGCTTTGTAACTGTTTTCGCATCGAGTCGCCCTGTTCCAACCTCTTGTGTGTGGGCGTCATCCGTTTATTGCTCGATTGGGAAGTTGTGCCCCACATTCGGCCACCGAGTCGGCCGAGGACACGGACGAACTGCCCGGCCACGTTAATGGTGACGTTCGTCCACTGATTTCATGCTGATTTCGCGGCGACAACCTGATAAGGAGACTCTTGTTTTTCCTATTTCTTTTTCTTTTTCTTTTTTTATGCGCGTTGATTTCGATCTCGGTCAATGAAAAGACGTCGCGACCGAGTCGGCTCCCGACGAAAACCAATATGCTCGTGACCACTGACGAGCGCGACCACTTAACTAACGTGTTGTAGGGAGTGCTATGCCAGCATTTTCCCTTTGACGTCCACACTGATTCAATAGTCAGACAAGTCGGAGTAGGCGCCATAAAAATTGTCATCCAGATCCTCTGGCTCCGTGTTTCTCGACTTGTTCCTGGTCCTCATAGGAACGGCCTGCTCGACGTCCACGACGCGTCGGCCAATCCACCTATCCCACCAGCCCTTGAGAAGCATACCGATGAAAACGATCGCCATGACGATAAGAACTGCAGCGATAACATCGCATACCTCGACTTCTCTGTGGCGGTTGGGGTGGGACGTAGGGGTCTCGATGTGATGGACCTTTGGATGGGGCATCGACGGTGGTCCTGTCTTGGCGGACTGCAGTGCGAGCCGGCCCTTGGTGTGCTTCGACACACGTTGCTGGCCGAGCGCTTGCTTTGCATGTCTGAGGCGGCGACCCTGATCGGGCTGGTTGGACGGCTGCTGTACCACCATCTTGGGGGCGTCGTGCTTGACGTTGGAGTTGGGTGCCGTGGCCCTCTTCTCGGTCTGGATGTTCTTCGTGGAAGGGGGAATCATTGTGAGTAAGCCTTCTGTCAGGCTAACGAACGATGGCTTCTGTTGTTTGGGGAGGGAAGATTGTGAGGCCGTATTGGTCTCTGGAGGTTGGTGTTAAAGAGAACGTGGTGATGGAGATTGCTAGAAAGTGAGTTTTTTCTCTACCGATACGGCATTTTGGGGACACGATAGGTGGCCTTAAATATCTGGAGCAAAAATTACTTCTGTGCTGGACATTTTGATCGCCTTGGCCTGAACTTAAAGGGGAAACGGTTCAGATGGGCAGGGCTTTTGAGGCTGACGATGCCCTGTACCCCGTGACTTAGGGGGAGGCTTGTCGTGATGCCAGGCGAGTTTAAATCTAGCAAAGGAAATAATGACCCCGGCATTAGCCTTTGCGGGTAGTTGTGCGTTAGATTCGCTGGTGAGGACACAGCGGCTTCCCGTTGGGGATCAAGGGGGCAATGCATCACAGGAGGAGGCCTTCGTCATGGCAGCGAGATCTCACACATATACGCAGTGATACTCTCGGCTGGGGAGTAGTAGCAGCCAGAATATGTGTGTGCATGATTTAACATTCTAAGCCTGGTATAATGCAACGCCCTCAGGCCTATACTACTTCTAAGGTTTGGGACAGGCAAGGCCTCTTTAGTAGTGAAAGAATTGAGAATTAAGTTCGGTTCCAATCTGCACAATCAATCTCTAGAAAATCTTTACATCTTGAATTTCTACATCCATAAGCTTCAGTCAACAGCAGATATGGCGACGACAACGGAAGAGTGCGAGCAGGTTGCGACCTGCGAAGACGTTCAGACACAGGGATCTCGAGTAACGGAAGCCCGTGAAGTTCCCCGAAGCGAAGGAGAGAGAGTAGAGGACAGATCAGTCCCAGTTGACACCAGCAACGACGGCTGCGCTTCTCAAGAAGCTCCAATGACTACCGTGGTCGATGTCGCAGCATCCATCGCGAACAGAAAACACTCACGGTCTCCAACCCGAGCTGTAGGCTTTACGCGTGTTGCCCCGACCAACAATCATGATTCCCCTGATACGCTTCCACTTGCTTATGTTGGTGTAAGAGAATGGGGCGGCAGCTGGGGGAGCGGGACGATATACGATGATGAAGATTTGCTCCCCAACGAGACAGCAAGGCAGACTAGGTCGTCACTCGTTGGCGAAGGGGTGCCTTTGGAAGGGAGTACGCATCGCTCCACATCTGCAAGATTGAAGGAACCGCCTCTGCATGAGTCTCTTGCTGGCTGTCACTCACCTCCCCTCCCGTGCGCGGATGAAGGTCGCAACCAACGCGAGCCTCATGAGGATGCTGCCGAATCGGTCTCAGGGGCCGGTGTCCAGTTCTGCCCATTCCAACTAGGCTATGAGCACAAGTTCTACAAGTGCGAATCGAAAACCATGATCGAATTAGCTAAGGTCCAAGATTCCCAAGCTGTGTGCAACCCCCCACAAGCAGTGGTCAACCCTGGGGACTCGGTCGTCGAGACAGCAGGCCCAACGCTGCCCAGGACTTCAGAAGTTTGGAAGAAGTACCTTGAGTGGAATGTTGTGGCACGCCCGTACCGATGGGCCACATTGATCTGGCGGGGGCTTCGAAACTTCCTTGCTCGATTGTCGCCGACGAGGTGAGTTTGTCCACCTAGCTGCTAGAATAAGGGCGACTAACGGCATAAAAGCGCCCACACCTCACCCGTCTGACCCGCGGAAGACAAACTTGCAGCAAATAGGTATCGCGTTGCTAAAATCACATCTTCTGCAGTTGGTATGTCAGAACAATCCTGTCCTCCCAGCCATCTGCCGCCATCTTCAGCATCGCCCTCCCGACCTGCTGCGTTTTGATGCCAAACACAAACGGACTCGCCATCTTCATCAACAGCGACGCCTCGGGCGCCAGCAGATAACTAGGTCGCGCGATGAACACCTCGAAATCTTGGTACCCCTCCTCGTCGGCCAATTCGCAGAGGCCCTTCTCGACAGCGCCCTTGATCTTGCGCGTGTCGTTGAGGAACCACAGCTTGCGCTCCTGGTCCCACTCGGCCAGCATGCCGCTGCAAAGAACGAAGCGAAATGGTTGCTTGAGGGGCAGATCTGTGGGTAAATGCGCGACGAGATGGTTGCGCATCGCCTTTGCGGCTGCCAGGGTGTAGTCTACGCCTACTTTGCGCGCGAGGGCCGCATCATTGCCAAACTGGTCCACGCGCCCGCCGACAGCCCTGATTCTTTCGTTAGCAATCTGTCACGACCGTCGCGCGGGTGAGGGACGGACCAGAGACACGCTTCCGCGCCCTCGAGCTTCTCGAGCACCGACGAGGGCCATGTGGAGAAGTCCTCGTGGATAATGACCTCGACCTTGTCGTGGGAGGCCACCTCTTTGCTTGGTTGGCGGCGTGTGAGGATGAGGATTTTCGTCACGCGGGGATCGGCCAGGCAGACTTGCGTAATGCCTCGGCCGGCCGTGCCTGTTGCGCCCGCGATGATGACCTTCATGATGCTGGCGGGGAATAACACGCAGAGCGTCCGGCACTATTCCGCAACCGAGACTGTGTACTGGGTATGTGAAAGTTGAGGAGGCGTCGACGGAATGGAAAGAAGGAAAGGGAGGATTGGAGACTGCGTGTTTTTCAGCCCCCAAATGGGAAGCCATGCGCCGAGACTGCGAGCTGCGTGTTGGTTGTGCACTCTAATATCGAGGTTCTCTCCGCCAGACACACCCTGGGAATCGCATCGCGTGGCCGAGGCCACCGCACGTGTGAACGCTGGGCGCCCCCTGTCTAGGCGGCTAATGACCCCTGCTCCGCGGTGATTCTCGAATGCGAGCCGGGGATAGAGAGAGCTGAATTGGGGTGGCGGACTGATGGAACTTCCCGAGTTTGCGTGCTGGAGATGAATGAAACTACCATCGTGGGCTGGGATGAATTTGCGGACGACAGTCCGAAGAATGTGGAATGCTTGCGCTGAGCCCGTTGGCTCAAACGGCCTTCAGGGTCGTGATGATGGGCTTGTTAGCGTAGATCTTACATATACTATCCCATCCACAGCATGCTGCTGTTTCCGCCGTCTTGACTTGAAGCATTAGCGTGGCGAGGATACTCTTGATGAATCTCGAAGATGGCGTGACGTGCCAACCAAAGCCAGCAGCTCCTCGCGTGGCTCATCAATGGTTTCGGCCGTGCGTATGATTCATTAATCATTAATATGTCTTAGATCTACTAGCTCGCTGGGCTGGTCGGCGACAGGCATGACTCGCATTAGCGGATGAGCGAGCGGACTGGCGGGGTGGATCCAGGACCAGGATACGTTGTATCGATGGACCATGGACCATAAATGGCAAATGCCACGCTCTGGATGTAATGAAACGCGACTTCTCAATTCTTGAAATGTGTGCTGAGTTGACCGTTCTGTGGTAGACTCGAAGTACAGCTGGACTTACCGTGTTGAGGCAGTCAATTGGTCGCCGCATGTGAGTGACCCGGGTTACCCATCACGTTTGAACGTATGCATTCATGGGGATTGTCAAGGGCCTCATTAGAAACTTCTGAATGGTTTGAACCGCATATACAAAGATGCGATCTCATGCTTCGCACACTCTCGAGCTTATGTTTTGGGGGAATCGTTTTGATTCACTTCATTAGTGACCCAGATATCCATATTTGCTATGGTATAGGGTAGGCGTTCAGCTGAATCAGGGGGTTGGTAACTAGTATGCTTGGTCTCATGGAACCAAGACTATGTGTTAGCAATGAGCTTCTAAATGTCTTGCACCATAGTCTTTGGTACACCCGAGAGTCGGAAAGTATATAGCCTTGTGAGTTTCTTGTCGACGGGTGCATGTAAGGATCGAGTGCTGTCACTGCTATGTCTGTGGTGCCCGACCTCACTGACTCCGAAAGCATGCACAAAACTCTCCCCACCTGATTTCACAAAATGGCGTGAATAATTCACAGCGTTAGTTCAAGAACTCATGTATCCAAAAAGATACATTCAATCTATCATCATCCAGATCATTCATGACATCTAACGTGGTCCGTTGCCGAGTTCAAAAGGAAACCCCATGCTAACTTCCTCAAAGTATATACAGTGAACAACCCCGCCCCATATCACATCAGCAATCCTTTACGCATTGCTGTTGATGAACGAGATAAAGTTGGCGATGCGGGTGTAGACGCCAGGGTAGCCAGGGCGAGCGCAGCCCTGGCCCCAGGAGACAACACCAATCAGGGCACCCGAGTTATCGACAATGGGACCGCCAGAGTCACCCTGGCAGGCATCCTTGCCACCCTCGGGCAGACCAGCGCAGAACATGGCGTCGGTAATGTCGCCGCCGTACGCCGAGTTGCACTCGTCGCGGTCGACGACGGGCACGGAGACCTTGAGCAGCTGCGAGCTGCTGGCACCGCCTTCGCGGGTGGCGCCCCAGCCAGCGATGGTGGTAGAGGATCCCGCGGCGGGGTCGGAGCCAGAGGACGGCAGGCTCACGTAGCCGATGCCGCTGCCTGCATCGATGGGCTGGGACAGCTTCCAGATGGCGACGTCGTTGTCGAGCGAGGAGTCGTCGTACTGGGGGTGGACGGCGATGCTAGAGACACCGACCTCAGTGCCACCAGAAGACCAGGTCTATAATGGATGTCAGCCTCACTCATCCTGGGCAAGTGTACCGCTCGGGATGACTTACGTTGGTGCCGGCGGTAACAGACAGGATGCCGACATTGACGTTGACGGAGCAATGGGCGGCCGTGACGACAGTGTCGGCGTTGAGGAGAGCACCGCCGCAGGAGTGGCTCCCAGAGCGCTGCAGAGAGACGATGTAGGGAAACTCGCCTTGGGCAGCGGGCTCACCGCCCACAATCTCCTGGAGGGTCTGGGGCACGGGGACAGCCGAGACACCAGTGAAGGTGGACAGCGCGGCGGCGGCGAGGGCGAGCTTGGAAACCATTGTGATGGACGTGGTTTGGGGAGGATGCTGAGGGTATTATTGGCTCGATGGATGGATGGATAGTCGAGAAGGACAGGTCGTTGAACAGCGACATCCCCTTGATTTTATATTCAGAAGTGACAGTTCTCAAGCCAACGTCGGTCGCAGTCAGTCTCCTTCATGTCGATCCGCCCATGGATGCTGCATTAACCTTGTCATGCATGAAGCTTTGCTCTCAACTCCCTAATGTGGACAAGACTAAGAAGCCGGCGGAGCAGCTTGCATCTTCTTCGCCGCAGCTGAATGCTTCAGCAAAATGTCCTTCCATTCACGTCGTGGCCCGACAGCCGTACCCATATGATAGGCATGCATATGTGAGCTCAGGCACCGCTCTCCTGCAAGTCGATGGGACCTTTGATGGGAATTTTTTCGAAGCTACAAAATAAGCTTATCTCGGCCCACATCATAAGGTGTTGGGGAGCGGCAGTTGCGAATCCATGGTGCAATGGTACGTCCTAGCTGCAGCTGTCAGCCGGCTATTAACGAATCTCACGCTAGGATCCAAGGTTTCTCGAAAAGAAGCTTTTGTTCATGTTGCTGTGTTGTGTCTGCCATAGCATAGAATATCACCCAAGGAACTGTCTGGCCCCTCAAGCACAACCATCTGCAAACACTGCAGATCATTTTCAGTCTCCCATTCGGACATTTGTGATAAACAAGGTGCACGTGCAGCCGGGCGATCACAAGCCTTCCTAATGCAAGCCACGTCGACTGCCGATCCCACCGTCAACCTTCCCGATATCGCCAGGCGCCAAAGGCAATGAGATCTGCATATGACAGCGACTGCGGTCAGCAGGGAGAGGATCTGTTCGCGGGGCCCTTCCTGCAGTCTTTCCTACGCGGGGCTTATTCGAGGTCGACGGGAAGTTGTTATCGAGCAGGTCGATGCGTTGCAATGGCGTTTGTTTGTCAGGCGACTGTCTGTCCCTTGATGGATTTCGCAAAAGTGCACCAGGATCCACGACTTGGCAACACGCTCGGTGGGATCTGCAACGCATGCATGCTCGTCATGGGCCGAATAAGGCAAGTAGAAGTCGATGGCCTTGGATGATGATTCAACGCGTAAGCAATTTGCCCTGGTCGCGGCAGTCTGGGCTTTGAACTCGTCAAGAGGAAAGCAGAAAGTGGCGTGGGATCGATTGCTCAATAGGTAACCAGTATACTCTTATTATTATCTCTCCTCCACTCTCAGTGCCTGCCGTACTCAGTTGAAGCCAACATTGGTGACAATGCCCTGCTCGTCGGTGCTAATCGTCAGCCGGTCTGGGTTGATGTCCCTCGTCGTCCTCGTGTTGGGGCCAACGACGCGATGACCCTCCGGCAGATCCTTTTTGGAGAAGGCCTAGCCACTGTGAGTACATTTCATACGGACATTTCCTTCCAGCAACTCACGGTGGCGCTCGACTCGGAGTCTGAGATGGTCTTTCCCATGAGCTTGTTCATCCACTCCTCGGTCGAATCCTTGGGATTGCTCTGCACTGGGTTGATGAGAGGCATCTTGATGTTGTGTATCGGATGAGATTGGGCGCGGTAGTTGCAGCTGGTATCAATTATGGTAGTTGGCAACAGTTTATGGTAGCGTAAGGTAACGTGGGGAGTCACTCCTTATAACTATCGGCTGTCGACTAGAGCGATGACGTAGCCTGTCAGTCAACGGCTCACATGCAAGTCAAACAGGCAGCAGAATGCCAACATTCACTTCATCTCTACATCAAACACTCGAGGAGTCATCACTGTTCATTTCTCACTATACTGCTAACCCCTTTAGTAATCTCCGCAACAGACTGGACTTCAGTCGACCACACCACCCCTTCTCCTGCCCCATGTATAGTCAGCTCAGATCTCAAAGGCATACGCAGCCGTGTTGACCTGCGGCTCGACCCAGAATGTAACCGAGTTGTCCTGCACAGGATGGTCCCATACGCCCATGTCCGTGGGCGCAGAACCAACCGTGTACGCATCCGGGCCATCGAAGCGCAGGGTCCTGACCGTGATGCTGTCACCCTGGACACCGAGAGCGTCGAGCCCTGTCAGCGTGAGATCATACCGGCCCGTGGACGCATTCGGACGGACGGAAGCCAAAATCTTGAGCTTGCCATTCTCACGGGTGGCATAGACTTCAAAGATCTCGTCGGCAGAGGCCGTGGTGGCCACACGCTGGCCGGTCATCGTCTCGGCGTAGTAGCTGTACACGAACCACTCGCCCGTCGGGAGATACGTGCCATCATCCTGCTTCACGACAAGGTTCGCCATGAGGTCTTGCAGCTCCGCGCCCGAAGCCCAGTTGGACCGCAGACCAGCCGTGTTGGCGCGCTCCAGCTGACCGATGAAGTAGACGGCACCTGCTGGGTTCTGCTCGCCATTCTGCTTGCCATACTCGTTCATGACGATGGGAAGCTCAGGGAAACCATACTGGTCGACAAAGTAGTTCAGCCCGGCCGTGCTCTGGCGCACGTTGGCGGCGCTGCCGATGAGGTGCCACGACCATTGATCAGGGATCGTATTGGTCTGGTCGACGTAGGCCATGAAGTTGACCCACCAGCCATTGTCGCTTGCGGGGGTGAACGCCGTAGAGGGGCCTGTGATGACGGTCCCAGGGAGCTCCTCGCGAATGCGATGCCACGTGCGGTTCCATGTGGCCAGGTACTGCTCCTGCGTGGTGTCCCAGAAGCCGCTGATATCGGGCTCGTTCCAAATGTCAATGTCCAGCCCGTCGAGCGCATCGTTGGCCTTGAGGTCGCCAAATACGGTGTCGAGGAAGGAGTCGTACTCTGTCCAATCGCCATTGTCACCCGGCCACTTGATGCCGTCGCCCTGCTTGCCGTCGGCACCCCAGAGGTCGTGCATGAGGAGCGTGAAGCGACCGCCGTATTCGCGAGTGGTGCGATAGTTGGAGAGGGCGGACATGAAGCGACCCTCGTACTGGCCAGCCACCCAGCCCAAGGCGTTGGCCATCTGGGCGCCACCGGCGCGGCAGTAGTTGAAGCCCATGCCCTCGACCAGATCACTAGGGATCGCGTCCGAGGCGGACCCATCCCCGTTGGAAGGGAAGCCGTAGATGAAGCCAGACGCCCAGTGCTCAGGGGTACCAGAAGGTTCAGCGACCTTGACGGTAGCCGTGCCACGCACGTCCTGGCGAGGGGCGACCAAAGCCAGAGCCCCAGAGACTGAGGCCAAGCCAAGTATGGCCTTCATTGTCGACATGTTCGATAGCGTTTGTAGAGGGAGGGAGATGAAGTTCGATGGAGGATGAGGTCTGATGAATCGCAACTACCGGCTGCTGAAGCGAGGCGACATGCTGCGTATTTATAAATTCCCCTGCCCTGGCTGCTCGTCTCCATGCATGTAGTTTGATTTGAGCATAAACGGATATCCTCGACGCAGTGGCTAGCTCTGGCTTGATGCTGATCCTGTCACCGGCTGACGAGGTGGCTCCAAAAGTCGCTACCACGTTGACCGCCAAGACGAATGAATGCTTCCCCAGACTCTCCAGTCTCTGACTGCCGCCCCCTCGCTCCCTCCATCGGCAGACATGACAAAGTTCTCCCCGCAGAACAAACCTTCTATCCCCGCATTCCTAATGCGTAGAAACATTGGGGATCAGTAATATTTCCGATGGGGGCGGGGATCGCGGGGTGACGCTGGTCAATAGTGTGATGATCTACCCCGTATCTGGAGGTCCGGTGGGGGTGGATTGCGAACTCCAACGAGGGGACAGGCGGTCCAATGGCAATAACCTCTTTCTGTAGCATGTGAGAACGTGGAGGAGCCATATCTCCGTGACGTTGCCTGTCATGGTGATGAGTACTGCAGACTCACATCGCTCGATGGATGATGCGGGCGTATAGCTCCACCACCACAGGACGCCAAAGGCCGCAAAGGACTTCTGGTTTGTCATCACCAAGCCCATTCCGGAGATCAAAGAGGCCATAAGAGCGGATCGTTCGCGAAACTCTCGCTCCTCCCTCTCTTACAACTCTCCAGACACTGTCCAGTCGATCCTGTCCAAAGTTCAAACCAACCAAGATGCTCCGACAAGACGAAAACCGCCTCGTGTTCTCCCACGATGGGGAGCAGCTCTGGATCGAGCCCTGGGGCCCGGACGCCTTTCGCGTGCGGGCCACCAAGGATGCTAGAATGCCCAGCGAGGCATGGGCTCTGGATGAGCAGGTCCCGTCCTCCCAAGCAGAGATCAAGATCCCCAGCAGCGGCAGCAACGGCGCCAATGCTACTACACCCAAAGAAAACGCCACCATTCGCAATGGCAAGTTGACATGCTCCGTCTCCTCGCGCGGCAAGCTTGTCTTCTCTGACCAGAACGGCAAGACGCTGTTGCAGGAGTACACGCGCAACCGAAGAGACCTCCTCGACGCAAAGTGCAGCGCTCTCGAGGTTGAGGCCCGCGAGTTCAAGCCCCAGCGCGGCGGCGACTACCACCTCACCGCGCGCTTTGAGAGCCTGGATCCGGCGGAGCAGATCTTTGGCATGGGCCAGTATCAGCAGCCCTTCCTCGATCTCAAGGGGCTGGACCTCGAGCTGGCGCAGCGCAACTCGCAGGCGAGCGTACCCTTTGCCGTCTCCTCGCGCGGATACGGTCTGCTCTGGAACCAGCCTGCCGTCGGCCGCGCTGTCTTTGGCAAGAACATTACCAGCTTTGAGGCGTACGCCACGAGCACTCTCGACTACTGGATCGTGGCAGGCGACACGCCCCGCGACATTTGCCGCCGCTACTCGGACGTCACGGGAAAAGTGCCCATGATGCCAGAATACGGACTCGGCTTCTGGCAGTGCAAGCTTCGCTACGAGACCCAGGACGAGCTCCTCGAGGTGGCCCGCGAGTACCGTCGTCGGGAGATACCTCTTGACCTGATCGTCATTGACTTTTTCCACTGGACACTGCAGGGCGAGTGGAAGTTTGACCCCAAGTACTGGCCCGACGTCGACGCAATGATGCGCGAGCTCAAGGCCCTCAACATTGAGGTCATGGTCTCCATCTGGCCCACCGTCGACAACCGCTCCGAGAACTTTCAGGAGATGCTGGAGAAGGGGCTCTTGGTGCGCACCGAGCGCGGCCTCCGTACCAACTTTGACTTTGAAGGCCAGACGGTCTACTACGACCCCACAAACCCCGAGGCCCGCAAGTACATCTGGTCCAAGGCCCGACAGAACTATTATAACAAGGGCATCCGGTGTTTCTGGCTTGACGAGGCCGAGCCGGAATACTCCGTGTACGACTTTGATAACTACCGCTACGCCCTTGGTCCCTGCCTGCGCGTGGGTAACTGGTACCCCCGCGTCCATGCCCAGGCCTTCTACGAGGGTATGGAGCAGGAGGGGCAGTCCAACATTATCAACCTCTTGCGCTGTGCGTGGGCCGGTAGCCAGAAGTACGGCGCCCTCGTGTGGAGCGGCGACATTGCCTCATCATGGTCGAGCTTTGCCGACCAGCTCGCCGCTGGCCTGAACATGGGCATGGCCGGTATCCCCTGGTGGACGACCGACATTGGCGGTTTCCACGGAGGAAACCCGAAAGACGAGGCGTTCCGGGAGCTATTCGTGCGCTGGTTCCAGTGGGGCACTTTCTGTCCCGTGATGCGTCTGCACGGTGACCGTGAGCCCAAGCGTCGTGAGGGCTTGTCCAGCGGGTCTGGTGCGGACAATGAGGTCTGGTCGTATGGCGAGGAGGTGTACGGTATCTGCAAGCGGTACATTGATATTCGTGAGCAGCTGCGAAACTACACGCGCGACCTCATGGCCCAGGCCCACAAGACGGGTGATCCCATCATGCGACCGCTTTTCTACGATTTTCCTCACGACAGTGACGCCTGGAGGGTGGGCACGTCTGCGTACATGTACGGCGACGCGCTACTCTGCTGCCCCGTGATGGAGCCAGGCAAGCGGGAGCTGGAGGTGTATCTGCCTGTGCTGGATAAGGACGACTCTTGGGTCTCATTCTATGAGCCTGAGAGCGCGAACGTGTGGAATGGTGGCCAGCGAGTTGTGGTGCCCTGTGGCAAGGAGGAGATGCCCGTGTTCGTGAGAAAGTCGAGGATCAGGGCGGTTCAAGCGGGGGGCAAGGCGTCCTAAGAACAGAACACGTAAGAGGCGCTTAATAGGCACAGCAATAGAAGCCAAGTACCTGATCATCTGAGACCATAAAAATACTTGAACCAGAAGTAATAGATTCACTAGTTTAAGATATTTTGTTCCGTAATTGGCGCGCATGTGCGCAGCAGCCGAGGACGGCCTGTGGTCTAGACTACCCTATTCCACAAGTTCGCCCTCTGTTACTCGTCCAATTGGCCCTCACTTCAGCTTCAGCCTCATCGCACCTTAACCTTGAACTTCTACCCAGAAGACATGACCCTGACCATATTTAGTCGCGCTCGCGACGTGTCAAAGCTGCCTCAGCTATCACCCCCACTATGAACAGCCACCAGTGCAAGCAGTGCGGCAGCTGCTTCGCCCGTCAGGAGCACCTCAATCGCCACGCACAGTCACACACCAACGTCCGGCCTCACGCGTGTCCGGAGTGCGACAAGAGCTTTGCCCGTCTCGACGTGCTGCGTCGCCACGTAGCTTCGCACGCCGCGGCACGGATGCAGCAGGCCTCCAATGGAGACGGTTCCCCGTGTGTACCCCGAGCCTGCAGGCAGTGTGCCGCGAGTCGTGTTCGATGCACACGCGAACAGCCATCCTGTCGACGATGCGACAGTCGATCCCAAGCATGTGTCTACCCACCGAGAACGAGACGCAAGAGTAGCGCAGCCACCTCGCGAGCGCGTGCGTCTCCGAATGAGGCTGCCTCGCAGGCGTCAGTCACAGCTTCACCAGGACGAACAACCAGCCTCGACAATGTTGGCTATGGGGGGCAGCAAGGGACTTTTGACGAGGTGAATTACGGCTGGGAGACTTGGAAGAATATGGAGGCACCGCCTCAGGCAGGGATTTTTGACCCCTTGGCTGGTCTGTCCATGATCAACTGGCTGTCGCCTGAGACTGCGGTCAATGTCGACTGGACAACGTGGACGATACAACCGACCGACATGGACATGGGGACGGTAGCCGCGCCAGCTATTGCAGACGGCACATTTGGCAGTAACGGGCATGGCATGGATATTTGCGACGAGCCGTTTCGAAACGCCATGCTACAAGTACCTCCATCACCGCCGCCGCCACCGCAGCAGCAGGCATTGCTACCACCCTCGTCGCCACCTCAACCGCCACAGTCTTCACAGGCGAGGGACTCGGTTGCCAGCGTGCCACTCCAACCTGCCTCAGCCTCTTCTACACCCACTGAGCCAGCATTATACGTGGAGGGCGCGGCAGGACGCCTTCCTTTCAAGGGCCGAGGAGCGCAACACCCTCCAGCCCAAGATGCTGCTGAGTGCCTCGTATCTCCCGACGAGCATGCCTCTGCCGAGAACACTGTCGACACCGAGCCAGCTGCGGCTGTTCTGTCTGAAGCAGCGTACGCCAACCTAGTGCACCACGTGCAGTCCGACTTTGCGCATCTTGCCCTCGCGCTTCCGCCGATCGAGTGCGCGCAGGCGTTGCTCCGGCTTTATTTCCGCACGTTTCACGTGTCGTGGTCGTTTCTGCCAACGTCTTTGCCGTACTATGAGCGCCCGTTGCGATGGCCGACTCTACTTGCCCTCGTCACTGTTGGCGCTCGTTATGTGGCCGGGGCAGAGGGGGTCATATGTAAAGATGATCTGGCAATGTTACTAGACGCAGTGACTTTGAGTTTGCTGGAGGCCGACCATGTCATCAACTCCGAGACAGCGCTGGACGCCGCATTGTCGACCGTACAGGCTTCGATCCTGAGCATTATCTGCTTGATCAATAATGGCAGTGCTGCAGCGTTTCGGAGGGGCAAAACAAAGTTGTATGCCGTCGTGGAGCTCTGTCGCAGCATGAGCGATAGGAGTGAATGGGATGCAAGTCAGGAGGCACGGAGAGCGAGCTTGATGGTCTGGATGCTGGACACGCACATTTCCTTCATGTTCTCAAGCGAACCATTGCTTCGTCTAGTGGATGCGGATGGAGAGATCCCCTCGCCTCGGGATAGCAAAGCATTGGACTCCGCCCCCATGACTGTGCCTACGGCCTTGGAGATTCTGTACATGGAGAAAGGCCTACCCCCGAACCTGGACGACTTCAGTACCAATGTCATCATCTGCGCCATACACCGCCGCACCAAGGAGACCGTTGTCCATCACCAATCCCGCCTCTCCTCCTGGACGCCCACCGCGCGGGTGCAACACCCACCGCAACGAGGAACGCCCTCGGATAAATCGAGTAGGACACGGGATGACCATGTGCGCCCGGGGTCTGCTTCGAGGCCTCGTGAGGAGACTTGGCCCCCGTCACTGCCGATCTTGTCCAAGTGGCGCAATGCGGCCTGCGACTGTCTCGACATCTTACATTGGAGCGCCAACAGCATCGTCGCCCGGAATGGTGGCTGGGAGCATCCCGTCGTCCTGAGCCTGCACCTCTCCCGCCTCATGCTGCTTACCCCATCGCGCCAGCTGCAGCACATGGCCTCGTCGCCCCCGGATGTCGGGCGGACAAGGGAGGCGTGGGGTGTCGTCGCCCAATGGGCCCTGGGCGACCAGTACAAGGCCAGGCTCTCGGTGGTGCATGCGGGCGCGCTGCTCTGGCACATGAGACGCTGCCGGACTGGTGGCTTCCTCGAGCCCTTTGCACTGTACATGGCCACGCTTGTTCTGTGGGCATACAGCTCCAGCCTCCAGCTGCCCATCACCAGAGAGGCATGGGACAATGGTGGCTCGAACTTGACGACCCCACCGGGCCGTGACTCGAGAGACAGCGTCGACCCTGATCCTACCTTTCTACATCTAGATCGCCCACTGGACGATGAGCTGGTCCAGACCTTTGTCAAGCGAGGCTCCCAGATGGCGGGTCATCTCACTGGCGTGGGTGACATTCGCTCTAAAGGCGCGGCTAGCAAGATTCTGCGAATTGGCGTGCGCATGCTGCCGGATGGACATGGACTCCAGCAGCGCCTGGACCTGGGCCGTGACCACGCACGAGCCCGGGAGAGCGCGGCGGGGGCCGGTCCAAGTCCACGAGCAACGCAAGCAGATCGAATCTGGGGAATTGAGTCTGTCTATGCGGAGAGGCTACAGCGCCTGATTCAGCCGTCGGATAATTGAATGGCATGACAATACCACCGGACGTTGCGTTTCTGTTTCGCGGTGGGCTGTATTGGATGTCTGGTTCTCCGATGGGGGTGGAGTTCACCTTTTCCCCCGAACCAGTCTGGTCCCCCCGTGGGGACGTGAGCCACCCATCACCTGTACCCCGGATCGCCTGAGGCTACTGACTACCTACTCGGGAGGGCTGCACGTCTGGCATGGCCAAGATCCGGGTGGTTGGCTGCTTTTATATAATGGCAACGCTTGCCACCATCCAGAACACGACGCCAGGAGACAGACGACTCGAATCACACTACAGCACACCATGTCTATCGGCGATACAGAGAAAGCGACCGTGGAGCACGCGATGGCGGTCGAGGAGTCTCACCAAGGTCCTGATGGGACCAAGGAGAGGAGCATGGCCCAGGAGGCGGCTGACAAGGAGCACGCCCTGGGTCTGGTCGAGGCACTGCGACGCTATCCCCAGGCGGCCATGTGGTCCATCCTCGTGTCGGGCGCCATCATCATGGAAGGCTACGACATTGTCCTCATCAACTCCTTCTTCGCGCAGGAGGCCTTTCGCCGCAAGTACGGCGTCTACTTTGCCGGCACCGACTCGTACCAGATCACGGCCGCGTGGCAGACGGGCCTCAGCAACGCCGTCAGCGTGGGCACCATTGTGGGCGCCTTTGCCAACGGCTACTTTACCCATCGCTTCGGCTATCGCAAGGTGCTCCTGGCCTCCCTCGTCGCCATCTGCGGTTTCATCTTCATCTCCTTCTTCTCGCCCAACCTTCCTGTCCTGCTCGTCGGCCAATTCCTGTGCGGCATCCCCTGGGGCGTCTTTGCGACTATGGCTCCGGCCTACGCGTCCGAGGTCTGCCCCATGGCGCTGCGCGGCTACCTCACTGTCTACGTCAACCTCTGCTGGGCGATTGGGCAGCTCATCTCGGCCGGTGTGCAGGCGGGCTTCTCAGGTGTCGAGTCGTCGTTGGCCTACCGCGTCCCCTTTGCCATCCAGTGGGTCTGGCCGCTCCCTCTCTTCTTCATCCTCTACTTTGCCCCCGAGTCCCCGTGGCACCATGTCCGCACCGGCAACTACGAGGCCGCGGAGCGTTCCGTCATCCGCCTCAGCTCCAAGAGCCAACACGCCGACGCCAAGAGCACGGTGGCCATGATGATCCACACGAACAAGATCGAGACGGACATTTCCGCCGGTACCTCGTACCTCGACTGCTTCCGTGGCGTGGACAGGCGACGCACCGAGATTGCCTGCCTCGCCTTTGCCGCGCAGCCGTTTTGCGGTTCCTCCATGGCTGGCAGTCCGACGTACTTCTTTGTGCAGGCCGGCCTCCCCAACTCCATCAGCTTCCAAATGTCAGTGGGCGGTCTGGGTCTCGCGGCCGTGGGCACCGTCGTCTCCTGGACGTTCCTGCACAAAGTTGGCCGCCGCACCATCTACCTCTGGGGTCTGGGTGTCCTCGCCCTCGTCCTGTGCACGACGGGCTTCATCAGCGTGGGCGCCGCCGACAGCGAGGCCGGCAACTTTGCCCAGGCCGCCATGATGATCGTCTGGCTGGGCGTGTACTACCTGACCGTGGGGCCGGTCTGCTACGCCATCATCTCCGAGGTCTCGTCCGTGCGTCTGCGCAACAAGAGCGTGTGCCTCGCGCGCGTGGCGTACTACATCGCCCAGATCACGTGCAACGTCATCAATCCCTACATGCTGAACCCGACGGCGGCTGGCTGGGGCGGCAAGACGGGCTTCTTCTGGGGCGGCTGCTCGCTGGTCTTCTTTGCGTGGACCTGGTTCCGGCTGCCAGAGACCAAGGACAGGACGTTTGAGGAGTTGGATCTGTTGTTTGCCAGGGGCGTGGGCGCGCGCAAGTTCAAGAAGGCCGAAGTGGATGCATATGCGGAGCACTGAGTGTGCTTGGCTATCTTGGAGTCTTTGTACGTCTTGCTGCTGGCTGTTGGATCTCTACGATTTGATGCTGAGCTAGGATGTATGCGCTTTGCGTTGGCCGTGGGACTGATTACCCTGTACTGTATTCTTCTTAATGTTGACTACCCTGTACTTCTGCCCGTCTAGACATGACAACATCTCTACCTAGTGGTGATGCCTCAAGGAGGGGGGTGACAAGTCTATTACTGTATTTGAGTCTCCTTTTCCCATCGTAGTCTTCTTGCTCTGTGGGTTTCTTCATTTAGCAAGCTCGAGACGTTGCGCCTGGGTCCGGCCCGTTGTCAATCTGTCTCATGTCGTGGGTAGTGTAGAACCTCCGCCCACTTCAATCATTTGCCATCTCATGCATGGTTGATTGATTACTAAATGAATGAAGAGCCTCAGATCAAGCCATTAGTTTCCAAAAATAATCTCGAAACAGCGGCTTTATGCGATTTCTGGAGACGTTCCGATTCGCGTGCACGACTCCGAGATAACGGTGGGCTGTGGCTCCGCGACTCCGGCCACTGACTAAGACTGCCAAAGAGCAGATCTGCTATCTCCGAAAGTGACATCATGGAAAACAAAATTGGGTTTGACTTTTTCAACTGCCGTCAACGCGTCTGATAATCTGATTCTAGTGGGTGGGTTCAAGCCTCGTCATGCAGCTTCCCACGTGCGTGTCTGCTAGGTGTACGGAGCAAGAGAGAATCATAGAGGCACAAGGCAATGTGTATCGAACAGAGCTGGACGTGCTTCAAGTGATGTCAACGACATCGCTAGGGGCGCTGTCTCGACTGTGGCACGACACTGCGTTGACACGTACAATGATGAGTTCCGGGCGAGTCAAACCAGAGACTGTGATAAAAAGTCTATTTAGAGTTACTGATTGGTCAATTCATTGCCACGATATCTTTGACAGGTGCCGGTCCGACGTGAAACTCTGGCGGCCTTCAAGACTTGGGCCCTTGGCATTAACGAAACCAGCCGACGTTTTGCTTCCTAATCAACCACCATCCAGTCATTCCGTATCGTTTATCTGGCAAGCGAGAATACAAACCCCGAGCGAGCATGCACAATGTATAATTTAATGGGGATAGGCCTTAATGACAAACCCAAGCTCGCAGAATCGTATGGACAGGAGTGTACTCCGGCTCCGTGACTCCGACGCCAGGTCTTTGCGCAATTATGGAGTCGCATAGAGATCTTGCGAAAACCTCGACTATTATGGGGGCATGACGAAGGTCCGAGGATGATTTTCGAAGCGTATATATAGAGCATCATGGCCTTTGTCAAAGAAGGCTCATCATCAGCTTCCACAGCTTCCTAGACTTCATCTACTCACGCGCATCCACTCCCTCCTCAACAAGAACCACCTCCCTCTTCTGAACGACCTCGCCATCCACAGACATGCCTTCGTTCACCGTATTCAGGGGCTCCAAGGAGGGTCCCAAGCAGGACCAGACCTCCAAGCCCGACCAGCTCACCGGCACCCAAGTCTTCGTCAAGGTCACCGCCTCCGGTCTCTGCGGCACGGACCTGCACTACCTAGCTGCCGATGTGGTCCTCGGCCATGAGGGTGTTGGTGTCGTCCAGGACGTCGGCCCTGACGTCCAGAACCTCAAGAAGGGCGACCGCGTCGGCTGGGGCTACGTCCACGGTGCCTGCGGCGCCTGCGAGCAGTGCATCAAGGGCGAGGACGTCTTCTGCGCCCAGAGGCGTCTGTACGGCTTCGACGACACGGAGCAGGGCAGCTTCGCGCACGGCGCCGTCTGGCCCGAGAGCCACCTGCACCCCATCCCCGACTCCATGACCGACGAGGTCGCCGCGCCGCTGCAGTGCGCCGGCGCCACCGTCTTCACACCCCTCCACGACGTCCGCGCCGACGAGACCGTGGGCGTCATTGGCGTCGGCGGCCTCGGCCACCTGGCCATCCAGTTCGCGGCCAAGATGGGTTGCCGCGTCGTCGTCCTGTCGGGCTCGGAGAGCAAGAAGGACGACGCCCACCGCCTGGGCGCCACCGAGTTCATCGCCATGAACAAGCGTGATGAGAACACCAAGCCCACGCCCATTGACCGCCTGCTCGTCACCACCTCGGCGCTCCCCGACTGGGACGTCATCATGCCCTGGATGGCGCCCAAGGGCACCATCTACCCCTTGACCGTGTCGCAGGACGCGCTCAAGATCCCCGCCATGCCTCTGCTGCTCAGTGGCGTCGCCGTCCAGGGCTCGCTTGTGGCCACGCGCACCGTGCACAGGGAGATGCTGCGCTTCGCCGGTCTGCACGGCATTGCGCCCTGGACCGAGACGTTCCCCATGACGGTCGAGGGAATCCAGAAGGCGACGGATGCGCTGAACAATGGCAAGGTCCGCTTCAGGGCTGTGCTTCTGCCCCAGTAAGGGCATGCTTTTATTGCATAGTTAGCGAGCGTGGTATAGACTGGGGCTGTTCAGCCAAATAGAGATAGACATAGACATAGAATAGACAAAGAGATATAGACGTTTACATTGGTAATATCCAGGCAATGGAGTGATAGTACTTCACCTGCGCGACGAACATACATCATAGTGCAGAGCGCCCCAAAAATACAGTCCTGAATATCATGTCATCATTAGGGTATCTGATCACGACTCTTAAGCGACACGGCTGCCCTCCAGGTTGTTGGCCGCACTCTTGCTCTTGGGCTGGTCCTCCCCGCCAATGTGGCCAGCCTCTCCTCCGAGACGCGCAATCTCCTGCTCGCTGTGCTTCTTGCTCTCCTCGCTGGTGTCTGCGCGGCAGTCAGTATCACGCCTCATTCAGAAGATTCAAGTCCAAGCATACTGGGGTTGGACAGGTTCGCCTTGTGGCCTCGGATGGCGTTGGAGATGTCCTCCTTGCCCTGTCCGAGCTCCTGCATGTCGTTGGAGATGACGGAACGGGCGCCTGCGGATGAAGACATTGTGATTTGCGGATGGTTTTGGATGGTCGGATAAAGTGCTGGTGATTTGTTCTTGTTCTGAAGTGGTTGATGAGCGCGATCGTCTCGCTCCTCGTCCACCTCTTATACTGAACGGTCATCAGCCTTGCGTCATCCCTGAGCTGCTAAACCTGTGTGATATCTGCCGCGCCAGAATGCTGCCGATCGAGATGCACAGGACCCTTGGCGTGGCAGCCAAGGGTCCTTATGATGCAATGGGCCCGTAAAGTTGGCGGTTGTGGAGTAGGAAGTTGGATGCTCCAGAGCAGGGGTGCGTGCGTGCGGCTACAGCTCGAGCCTCAATCGCAGCGTATATGCGGGGGAAAGGCGGGAGATGCGATGCAATTCTGATAATGCTTGGAGGTTGATTCGTCGCTCACGTAAATATCGCCGGCAACGCCTCGCCGCTGATGCGCTGTCCAATAGTCGTGATAAACATCCACGTCGCCTTGGACAAGCTGCTGTTCGGCGCGTCCTTGCTGACAATCTTCAAGCGACTCGACGCGAGGACGTAGCCGTTGGCGGCAATCTGCACAACGCGCACGCTGGGATGGAACAGGTTCAGCGCAAGGTGGTGATCCAGATAGCGTGCGAGAGCATTGGTGAACGGCTGCTCCTCAGTCGCTTGACCCGACGAAAGCCATGCCCATCCATTGTCAGAGTCGTTGCCCGCCAGTCTGCGACGTTCACGGTCATCCGTCTCCCAGGAAGCACCCGTCTTCGCTCTGGGCTCTGCAATGGTCCGGCCAGCGCGCACAAAGCGACGGAGATCCTGTGGCTGGATCGTAATGTCGATGGACCGCAGACCTGACTTGTACGACTGCGGACCCTCGTCTTCCTCGTCGTCGTTGTCGGTTGCGATCGATGGATCTGCCAAAGGCGCGTCGAAGGCAAGCGTGATGACAAAGTCCGAGCCTCGTGCGGCAATCCCAATCGCGTCGATCCATTCTTCCCACACGGTCACCAGTGTTCGCGTCCCAAGCGCGAGCTTACACACTCGGCAGTCAAAGGTTGTAGAGAGCCAGTCGCTGACAATGTTCCTCAACGCGAGAGGCATCCGGAAGAGCATGAGGGGCAGGTGGAGGAAGCTGACGTCTCTGGACGCGCTCTGCTTGCCTCTTGACCTGTTGTTGCCGGGCTGCATCTGCCATGCCTGGGGTGTAGCCTTGTCCTGCTGTTGGATAGTTGGGAGCAGAAGTGCATGATAGCTCGTATTCTCGTACTGGACGCTAATCCATAGTCCTCGCTTCTGCTCGTCCGACAGCGCAGTCCATGCACTGCCTACGTCCTCGCTGTCCTGGATGCCCGTGCCAAAGACATCATCCGCGCGAAACAGACGCACTCGGACGGCCTTGAGCACGCCAACCTGAGCTCCTGCTGCCGTCGCGCTCGATTCGAGTCCAATGTGGACACCGCGCACGACGTCGCCGACGAGGACGTCCCGCAAGCGTCGCGATAATACGCTGAGTCGTGCTTCTGTCAGGGGCTCGTCGCCGACAAAGAGAGGGGACACGCGGTAGGTCGAGAAGCTGTGGTTGAAGAAGCTGGGGATCGGGTCTTCGGGCTCGACGTCGGTGAATACGGTCGAGGCGTTCGAATCGCGGGGCGTGCGGCGTCGAGACATGACGGGGGTCGGGTAGCGAGCAGACCGGCTGCTGGTTCACAGGAGGCTAGAAGAGGCGATGCATTGGGAATGTGTTGCTTGCAGATGTGGTGGTGCTGGTGGCAGTGGTGAAGGCGCGTGTGCGACGCGTTTTTGGAGGTTCATCGATTTAGTTGTGCCGGCCATCCCACTTTACCTCACCCTACACGGGCCCTGACATGGAGCTTCGCAGCGTTCACTCTACAATATTCAGGCATTTTCATCCTCGTCAATCATCATAATGGCAGCGCTCTGAAGTATGCGTACCGCGTGGGCGTCAATAGCGCCCTTTACCTCGACAAAGGTCCCGATCCACCTTCCCGTTGGGGCGCCTTCTCGATTTTTACGATGCCTGTGAGAGATGCGACACTTGCATTGTGACAATACCATCTATGTGGTACGACTGTCGCTAGAGTCTTGTTTTCCTGGACCCCAGACAGAGCCTCAAGCCAGATTGAATGCTGGGCTGAGGATTGAACACGCCACCATGACGAGAACTACATATGGCGACAACCTCGTCGTCACAGACCGAGGCGGCGTCGTCGAGAACACGCACGAGATCCACGCAGCCGTGACAGACGCGGACGGCCGTCTACTTTTCTATGTCGGCAATCCCCACCGCATCACGCTGATCAGATCGGCGGCCAAACCGATGCAGGCACTGGCTGTGGTCGAGACGGGTGGCGCTGACCAGTCCAGCTTTGACAGCGTAGACCTCGCGCTCATGTGCGCGTCGCATAGCAGTGAGGAGCGCCATGTCCAGAGGGCGCGCCAGATGCTCGACAAGGTCGGCGCCACGGAAGACGACTTGCGTTGCGGTGGCCAGCCGTCCATCACTCCACAAGTCACGGAGGGCTGGTGGAGGGACGGGGTCACGCCCACGGCTGTCTACAACTGCTGCTCGGGGAAACATGCCGGGATGCTGGCGGGTGCGAAAGCACTTGGTGCGCCATTGACAGACTACCATGTGCAGGACCATCCCATCCAGCAGCGCGTCAAGAGAGCCGTCGAAGAGGTTGCCAATCTAGCGCCCGACGAGATCATATGGGGCATCGACGGTTGTAACATGCCAGCACCGGCGTATCCGCTCACCGCTTTGAGCCAGAGCTATGCGTTATTTGCAAAAGCATCAAGCGACCTGGCGAGGGATGCAGCGACCACAGAACGTGAGAGGTGGATGGGGCGGATATACGACGCTATGGCTCGACACCCTGAACAGGTGGGCGGCGATGGTCGATTCTGCACGATCCTGATGGAAGCCTTTGAGGGGCGACTCATCGGGAAACTGGGCGCTGATGCGTGTTATGCCATTGGCGTCAAGGAGTCAGAGGATACCAGACGTCTTGGTGCCAAGGGCGCCTTGGGTTTGGCCGTCAAGGTTGGCGATGGCAGCTATAGCATCCTCTATGCTGTGCTGGCTCACCTGTTGGAGCAGCTCGGCATAGGCTCGCCGGGCGAGAGGGAGGCCCTCAGGGCGTTCCATGAGCTGAAGATGGTCAACAGCATGGGCGTGCAGACTGGCACTGTCAACTTCCAGTACAAGTTGCACTCGGTGCTCTGATTCCTCATTCGAGATACTACCAAGATGCCCAACAGGACTAGAGATACGAAAGCGTCCATTGCTCTTCAATGAGCGTTCTGTCTCGAAACGCTACAGCTACAAGGACGTTACACGAAAGAGCCAAGATGACTGCCCCGACAAATACTGCTGTTACCTTTGAGAATCATCATAGCGGCCACAGCATCGACCACGTGAAGTCTCGCCTCTCATGGTACTTCGAGACGGCAGATTCGACGGCAACATCATGGGTGCAGAGGTCCTATGAGGTTATTGGAGTGATATTTCTTGCATAGGAAAACGAACCACCAAAATATTACGGGCAAGTGCAGAGTCCGTCCTCGCAGGGACATCCGTCGTCTCCCACGCCCTGACGACAACGTGCCAGCCACAGCTTGCCTAAGGCATGCATCTCGAGACGCGCTGTCCGCGCGGGCTCTACCCTGTCGTCAAGAACAACATCGCGGCCATCCAGGAGCGTCCGGGCAGCATGATACCCGGCAGAGTATCAATTTCGGGGACATGACAAGGAGCCAACGAAATATGTTGGGCCAGATGCTCGTGAATTTGAGAGCGATTTGATGATGGGGGGTGGTCTTCTCCGTGCTCACCCCTCGATTCATGGTGCAGCCTGGACCAGAATCAACTGCAGAGTCATCCAAGGCCATGAACTTCTTCATGTTCCAATAAAAAGTTGGTTCTTTGTGTCTACTGCGTAAATAACTGACTCTAGGAGCCCAGATGGGAGTATAGGGTAGTCAAACAACCTCGGATGCTATGGAATATATGAGCGGAGCGCGTACCAGACGTCCACTGCTGCATACTATCGAACTAGCAAAGCGGGCCTGTCCTGTGACTCCTGTCGAACTTACTCGCAGCAATTGACGTGAAGAAGACTAGAACCGCATGAGCCATTGCCATTGGTGTTTCTCTTGGACACGCGATGAGGAGGGATGGGTGGGCGGTGGGCCCTCGTCTCCAATTCCCACCCCCATTTTGATATCAGTGGATCTTCAACGTGTGTCGCCGATTGCGGCTTGGGCCTCGACTCTCCATTCAATTGACGTTCATTCTCAGATGAAGCAGCAGTTCGTGCGTAACTGTCAAACCCCAGGTCGAACCTAACCTACGCCAGATACTTCCCTGCCATGGACCCCCAGGAGCTGCCCCCCAACTACAGCGGCGACATATCTGAGGCGAACCCTCAGCAACCGCCGCCGTCGCGCAGTGGACCGAATCTGACCCGTCAGCGGGCAGCGCGCGCGTGAGTCTCATGCTTCCCTGACGCAGGTCTCAGAGCTGACGGTGATCCGCAACAGGTGCGATGGGTGCCGCAAGGTCAAGGAGAAGTGCGAAGGTGGCCTGCCCTGCCGACGGTGCGTGCACCTCCAGCGACGATGTGCCTTTACCAAATCGACGGCGCGGGCCAGGGCGGGCGCGTCGGAGAACGGGGGCACGAGCGCACGGCAGGGCGCGGACGAGGATGTCGCGGAGATGACGAGGCGCATGGCCAACATGGAGCGACTGCTGACGCACTTTGTGGGCAATGTGAAGCTGGATGGGGACACACTCCAGCATCTGGCCGACTCGGTCGAGAAGAAGAGGCTCGATCAGATGCCGCCGGAGGAGGATGCAGAGGTCAAGTCCAACAGCTCGGGGGATGTCAAGCTTGATGAGATTACGGTACAACCGTTGGAGAATAATGCCACACGTGAGAGACGCTCACCCCAAATCTGTTGAGATCCAGCTGACCCAGATGTGTATAGATTACTCTGGAGAGTTTTCTCATTGGAATTTCAGTATGAGGTGAGAAATGTGCCCTTTAATGGACTTGAGCGCAAGGGCTGACAGATGCAGGATCAAGCAGTGGATAGAAGCCACCGGCCCTCACAGAACCGTAGGAAGCAGCGCATTCTCCTCGCCAAGTTCACGCTGACAAGTACTGACAGGACGCCCCTGACGCCCCCAAGATCAAGGAATTCTACCGCTTCGACGAGCTACAAGCGCCCCCAGACGCATCAGGCCTGTCGTCCTCGTTGCCCCCTCGCCAAATCGCCGACGTCCTCACCCGTGCCTTCTTCTGCCATGCCGAGGGCGACTACTTCTTCGTCGACCGGACCTGGCTCAACCGCAAGATGGACGTTGTCTACGAGAATCCGGCATCACTCTCACGCCGTGACGTGCCCACGCTGGCTATCATCTACATGGTCCTCGCGGTCGGCACGCAGTACGTCTACCTAGACTCTCTAGGCGGCAAGACCAACAACAATGCGTCATTCTCGGAGGATGCTATTGGCATCAAGTTTTACCAGCAAGCTTGCAAGTTACTACCCGACGTAATCGCCATCGCCTCGCTCGAGAGCACCCAGGCATGCCTCCTCATAGGGCTGTACACCCTTCCTCTCGACCCGTCGGGACTGGCGTGGACCTATATCAACCTCGCGATGAAACTGGCCATTCAAAACGGCATGCATCGTAATTACCCGGGTGAAGGTCTGGAGCTGGTCATTCGCGAGACAAGGAACCGCGTCTGGTGGACGCTATACGCCCTGGAGCGACGGGTCGGCACATTTCACGGGAGACCTGTCTCTGTGCTGGACGGCGAGATTGACGCGTCGTACCCAGTCGACAGACAAGACATCTGGCCAGGCTCGCCCCCTCAAAACACAGCGCAGTTTCATGCCTCCATCCATCTCTGCGGCTTCATCGGCAGGGTCAGGCACGAGATCTCGCTGTTCAAGGCGGCCGATCGACAAACCACATTCTGCGCACTCGCACGGCTGGTCGACATCAAGGACGAGCTGCACAAGTGGTGGCAAACCCTGCCCAGCGAGGTATGTTCCCAGAACCCTGCCATGGACGGCGCCGTGTCACGCGCAGCAGTCCACGTGCGTCTCGAGTTCTGCGTCTTGCGCATGTACGCCGGACGTATCTTCATCACGCCCCTCAACAACTCCGCCATGGGACCCCGGTCCTCCTCCAAAGGACGACCCTCCGTGGAACCTGCCAGCAGCGAAGCTGGCGAGCCTAGTCCACGCTCAGTGTCACTGAACGCGCGACGGCGCTCCATCATGATCGCCGACTGCGTGGACGCCGCCCTGTCCATCGTTGATCTCTGCCGTCTCCTGCAGAACACGATTGGCCTCGCGCGTGCGTCGTACACCGAATTCAGCGGTCTCCGCGTCGCGCTGCTCGTCATCCTCTCCCAGTTTATTGAGAAACAGCAGCAGGACGCCACCGAACGACTGCGCCAACCGCTGTATGAGGGGATCGCCATGCTGAAGAACATGGCTGCGTGGGGTGCCTCCGCGCGCTTCGACGCCTCGCTCATCGAGGCGTTTGAGCACGCCATTGCGCGTATGGAAGTCCCAGATAACCCGCAGGAGCCCGTGTCTCGCGAATCCGACTACGAAATGTTCAAAAAGTGGCAGATGGAGTGGCAAGGCTCGGGCGTGACGTCGAAGCACGTCAATGGCGGCAGCGTGGGGGACGACAAGGCGTTTGATCCGGCGCTGGGCATCCCGTCGCTCACGGGGAACGCTGCTTCGGGCGGCTGGGGTAGTGTCGCGGGTCCCAAGGCGACGACGCCCCTGGCGATGCCGTCTGTGAACAATGCTGGTGCTTTCGGGACGCCGGCGGACTGGGGATCGAGCGGTGTGGCAACGCTGGGGGGTTTGTCTGATATGCTTGGCCAAGGGTATGGGTTCGATATTGACCTGGGGCATGCGCCTACGGAGGGAGATGGACGTGGACCGGACGGGTGGACGGGGATGTTCTGAGCATTTGGCGTTTGTTTAGTTCATTACTTATTAATTCAGCTCAGCGACTGCGTTCTCATATCGTCTCTTCATTGTCACGTTTCTCCTCGGCTGCTTATAGTACTAGATCCTACAGCTCATCCTTCGCATCTGTCTTCTCCTTCTTCTCTTCCAGTCCCCTCTTCACCATGCTGGTGATCAACTCGTAGCCAAGCTGGGCAGCCGCCAGCGCGGTACCCTCGACGCGGTCATCATACGGAGGGCTGACCTCTACAATATCCGCACCAACGAGGTTCAGTCCCTCCAGCCCACGGATGATGCGAATCATCTCACGCGTCGTCCAGCCCCCAGGCTCCGGGGTGCCAGTAGCAGGCGCCATGCCCGGGTCAATGACATCGATATCAATAGACAAGTACACGGGCCTCTCCGTACCGAGCTTGCCCATGATGCGATCAATGACAGTCTGGACTCCAATGTCGTCAATGTCGTCGGCTGGGATGCGATACCAGCCCTGCTGGGTGTCCTCCTCGTAGTCAGCCCAGTCACCACCCGACAGACGGGTGCGCAGGCCAGCATGGACAGATGACCCGTTGGCGATGAGGCCCTCTGCGCCCGCCAGCCAGAAGACGCTGCCGTGGTTGAAGTAGCTCTGCGCAAACTCGACGTCGTCATCGATCCAGGCAGACGGGTACTTGGCCGGGTGCCATGTGTCGAGATGGGCATCAAAGTGCAGAACCGAGATGGGCTGGCCATAGCGTTCCTTGAGCGCGCGGAGGGCAGGCAGGGCGATGCTGTGATCTCCTCCCAGACTCAAGAGACGCGACTTGCCCCTGTACCCGTCGGATGGTTTGGGCGTGTTCCTTTTGCCGAGCTCAATGTACGCCTCACTCATCTGGTGAAGAGCGAGGGCATTGTCAAAGGGAGAGGCGGGAATATCGCCACAGTCCACGATCCGCGCCCACGAGGTGTAGGGGTTGATGCCAGCCCGCGCATTGAAGCTGCGAAAGGAGATCTGGCGAGCCGAGTTGGCACGGATGGATCTGGGACCAAAGCGCGCGCCCGGTCTGTAGCTGACGGCCGTGTCGAATGGCGCACCAATGATGCCAATGTCAAAGTCCTCATCGGGCTGCGTGAGACACTTGAAGTGTGGCAGATGGGCAAAGGTCGAGATGCCGGAAAAGGACCACTGCAAATGCACAATGTCACTGCGTTAGCGGACGACGCGATTCATGGGCCAAGACGGAAAAGCTGGGGTAACGAGGGAACTTTTCGGCCTCGCCGGGGAGTCGACGTACATCTGTGCCCCATTTGGCGTGAAGCTGCTCGAGATGGGCAATATTGTCCGCGTCCAGGGTGTCTGCGTGAGCGTGCGCCTGGCCGTGGGCCTGTGCCAACGATGGGAGTAGGCATGCTGATGCCAGCAGGGTTGGAATACTGAGCAAGTACGGATACATGATCACGAATGGCCAAGGGTAAGGGCTGGTAGGGTAGGGCCGAGAGAAGACGCCACGGAGAGGATTCGCGATAGGGATTTCCAGAGGCTGCGCTGACAGCCAGGCACAAGGAAGATAACGTTCTCTGCGAGCCGTTCCTAGCTTACACGTCAATATAGGTAGGTTTGACTTTGATAAAGAGTCATGTCAAGGATAGGGTTTGTGTCAATTAAACGCTCAGTTGAACATAGCAATCTCCACTGTATTTGCGTGGAATATCCGGGGATTTAGTCGCGCGTCCCCTTCATCCGACTCCGGCCACGAGCCATGATCCATCAAACAGGTCTCGAATCCCCGGTTACATCCTGGCTACGTAAGAAAGGTGCAGTTGACAGAGCCTCCACGGTTATCAACGCCTATCTGAGGCTGCCGGTAGAGCCGGTCTGGCGAGGCTCGCCATGAGTGATGTGGGGAGCACGCACGACTCGTGCGCGCTGTGCTCTGCTCTCCGTCCGTCACCGAGCTTATCGCCATTCTGCCGTGCCTTTTCGAACGAAATCCCCTGTCCGAGCACGGCGAGGAGCCGGTCAGGACCGGTGTCGCCAACCACTGCCACACACAACCGGCCACCTCTGCCGGTCAGCGACTCCACAGACACCTCCCACTGCCGGTCCATGGCCGGCTCTTGAGCGACTGCTTCCCTACGCCACCCGGCATGGAATACGCTTAAACAAGATAGGTTATCAGCATGGCAGCCAATGAGTAGAGCCCTGGGATGTTCTTCAGGGCGCTGAGCCGAATATTGGAGGCTGTCTCCTCCCTGGCGTTGCTTGTACGTAACACCCCAATACCCCACAGATCTGTCATGGAACACTTCCATGCGTTATCTGCGCTTCCCCAGTGCAGCAGGGCTCCGCCAACGGACATGGATGGCTTCGAGTCTCAACTCTCATTCACTTTGGGTTGTGGGTTCCTGGCGCGACCCGCTGATAAGACGCCGTGTCAGCGACTCAGCTCAGGGACGCTTGGGAACATGGCGCTGCTTGACATGTCTGTATAAGAGCCAGGGGAACGACGCCTCCTCAGGAACCGATTTCGCCCTCCAACGGCAGTCTCAACCTCCCAGTCTTCCCTCCCACACCTTCTCACTTGGTCTTGCTGAGCCATCGTCCAGTTGTCGACCATGACGACAACAGAAACCAAGGTGCCCCAGGGCCCCAACGACATCTCGCGCGTCGAGAGTGCGCGCCCAACGTCGCAGGTGGACGGCGACCTCAAGCAGCCGCACAATGCCATCGAAGAGCAGTATGGCTCCACGCATCGCGGTCTGAAGCCTCGCCATGTCCAGCTCATGGTCATCGGTGGCTCGATCGGTGTCGGCCTCTGGGTACGCAGCCCCCCCCCGAACAGACGTAGACACTTTCATACTGACTGATGATACAGGTTGGCGTCGGCACCGTCCTCGCCAAAGTCGGTCCCCTCTCGCTCATCCTGGGCTACGGCTTCTGGGGCCTCTTTTTCGTCTGGCCTCTGTTCCTCTGCGTCGCTGAAATGTGTGCCTACCTGCCTATCCGTGGATCCATCTTCGAAATCGCCTCTCGTGTCTGTGGCCCTGCCGTCGGTCTCGCCATGGGTTGGACGTACTTCTTCGCCGGGACGATGCTCATCTGCGTCGAGTACAGTGCCGTGTCGACCGTCATGCAATACTGGGACCAGGACACCAATCCGGCCGCGTGGATCGGCATGGCCATGGGCGTCTGCATCTTCCTCAACGTCGTGGCCGTCAAGTGGTTCGGAGAAGCCGAGTTTGTCATGGCCTCCACCAAGATCATCCTGCTCGTCATGCTTGTCCTGACCACCATCATCACCATGGCTGGCGGCAACCCCAAGGGCGACGCCTATGGTTTCCGCAACTGGGATTCTGGTGCCATGAACTCGTACTACGCCGATGGGTCGACTGGGCGCTTCCTCGGTTTCTGGTCCGTCGCTATCTACGCTGCCTTCACCATTGCCGGACCCGACATGATCGCTCTCGCGGCCGGTGAGATTCAGAACCCCCGCCGCACCATCCCTCGCGTTGCCAACCTCGTCTTCTGGCGCATCGTTGGCTTCTATGTCATCGGTGTCCTGGCGGTCGGCATCATCTGCTCGTCCAAGGAGGATCGCCTGACTGGCGAGTCAGGCACCGCCGCCTCCCCCTGGGTCATTGGCATCGAGAACCTGGGCATCACCGGCTACTCCCATGTCATCAACGGCTTCATCCTGCTGTCCGGTTGGTCGTGCGGCAACGCTTACCTCTACTCCGCCTCGCGTACCCTCTACGGCCTCGCCCGTGAGGGCCAGGCCCCCAAGTTTCTCCTCAAGTGCACCAAGAGCGGTATCCCCATCTACTGCGTGGCCACCGTGTCTCTCATCACCTGCGTCACCTTTATGGTCAGCTCCAACTCCTCCGTCGAAGTCTTCTTCTGGTTCGTCGACTTGACCACCACGGCCCTGATCATGACCTTCTTCCTCATGCTCATCACCTACATCTGCTGGTTCCGCTCCCGCAAGGCACAGGGTCTCACAAACGACATGCTGCCCTACATTGCGCCATACACCCCCTGGACTGCATACTGGGCCTTGTTGCTGGTCACCCTCATGATCATCTTTGTTGGCTTTGACGTCTTCTCGCCTTTCACCGTCCGCGGCTTCATCACCCGCTACTTTGCGGTCGCTTTCACTGCCCTGGTCACGGCTGTCGGCTGTCTCAAGTACTGGAAGGAGGGCCGCAAGCTGTGGATCGGTCCCAAGGAGGCTGATCTGTGGAGTGGCAAGGCCGAGGTGGACGCCGAGTGCCGACACTGGGAGGAGGGTGGCATTGAAGAGAACGAGAAGGCCAGGCTGGCCGAGCTGCCTCTCATGAGGAGGACGTGGGAGAAGATTTGGTCATAGACTGCAAGCTTACACTGGCCTGCAACTTCTGTTTAAACATGTACTAGAGCCACTGCGGTGCAAGAATCAAAGCGAGATAGCAATCTTTACTTAATTTCTCACAAGCAAAGTGTCCTGGACCCCTTTCCTCCGTCAATCCACCGACCACTCTTCCCTGGCAGCGACAACCAGCCTCGAGTTCCCTCGGGAGTGTCCCACTTGAGATGCACACGACTCCTGTCCACCTTGAAGCTCGCTGAGAATTTGCCTAATTTTGTAGTGAAACCTGCCTCAGCCTCGCCCAGTCCATCAACACCAGTCTCGGGGACAAACTGCCACTCCTCTCCCGCTGGCGCCGTCACCTGAAGACCAACGAGGCGCTCCGTCAGAGAAGACGTGGGCCCGCTGCTCCAGCAGTGCGCGTGAGACATGTACGTCTCGTCCTTGTACCCCCTATCAGTCCGATAGCCCCATGTCCCATTGACGCGGTAGCCTTCTGCGACAGTAGAGCCTGTGCCGTTGGGGTGATTAATGTACCAGCCCCATGCGTCGCGCATGAGCTGCACAGCACGCTCAGGGTGACCAGCTCGAAAATGACCAAAGAGTTCAATACTCGTGACAAACGGGGAGATGTTACCCGGTAGCTCGGGAACTTCAGGGCCGATAGGCGTCCAGTTTGACTCGAGGTACGAGGAGACGCGCTCTGCTTCCTCGCTCCCTCTCTCGAGGACACCAAAGGCAAGAGACATGCTGTTGGCATCCTGTGGGAATAGAGAGACATCGTCAGGACTCTCCCGAAAAGCCCCTGTCGACTCGTCCCAAAGCTCAGCCATGATGGCTTCTCTTGAGAGTCTCTGCTTCTTTTGTCCACTTTTCAGCTAGCGAGGAGGCATCAGGAAGATCTGGATACCATGTACCAATCTCAGCACCCGTCTGGAGAGCTCGATATAAGCTATCAAATATCAGCATGGTTGAGCAGGTATGTCAAGGCTAAACTTACAGCATGCTGGCAGACGATCGCTCATTCGAGTACAGCCACCGAGCCCAGTCAGCTGTACCCTTGACACTCACAATGCCCTTGTCGTCCACGAGCCCGCGTGCATAGTTGAGGGCTCTGATGTACTTGGGCCAGATTGGCTCCAGCCAGTCAATGTCACCTGTGTACAAAACGTAGTTGTAGACCCCGATCATGGTCCACATGTGGTAGGCTACCCCCGATGTCAGCACTCGCCCAGATTCTGGCCCACAGCAGGGACTCACTGTCACTGTTGTACGCCAGGTATGGCGGACCTGCCTTGGGCAAAACGTCGTCATCTCTCAAATTGTCAAACATAACCTGCAAGGCGTTTCGCGTGCTCGCCATGTCGCCCGTGCTAACAAACGCGCTGGGGACGGCCGTTCCCATATCACCAATCCAAACCCACCGATCACGTTTGGCGCCGTCGAGAAGCACCGTGCCGCCAGGACCAACGAATGCGTCATTTTTCCATCCTTCCTCGATAGTGCCGACATCCACACGCCCGGTATAGCTGGGCACCGAGTTTGTCTGCAGGGTGTAGGCGCCGCTGTACCAGATCCTGTTGAGAAGCTCGTCTTCCGAGTGGAAATAACCCTGGTACGCGCGCATGTCGGGCCAAGTAGGCTGGAAGCTAATCTCAAGTCGAACATTGTGAATGTGCAGTGGGGGTGCATCGTCTTCTTCTTGGTATAGTGTCAGGTATCTGAAGCCACCCCGAAGACTGGCATCTGGCATCGTGTATGCCCCAGGACCAGTCGAGTTGATCTTGTGCGTCAGATGCAGATCTGGATACTCTGGACTGCCGTTAGAGCTGTCCGACTCGTGACCGATGTAGTTCTTCGCTTCCGTGAAAGCCAGAGCCAAGGCTGAGGGGCCGTCTCCGAGCTGGTCATAGTCGAGAGAGATGATGCCGCCCACTTCATAGCCAAAGTCGAGAACGAGCTCGGGCGTCTCGCTATCTAGTGTCCATTTCTCATCCTCGTCGTATGCGGACACAAACTCTCCTTCGGGGAAAGAGATCACATTGACGGGTGTGACAAAGCGCGTTTGGGGGGCAAAGTTGTACTTGTCCCATGGACCTGTGAAAGATGCTGACTGTGGACCATCGCAGGGACCGTCTCGCCAGCACTCGCCCAGAACGTATGGGAGAAACGATACGAACACCCATATACCCCGGCTAGACAATAAGGTGAGCATAATTAGACAGTTTGTTGGTGACATAGATATATATAGGGACCCGGGAGGTCTTATGTAGGCCTTGACTACATAAGGAAGTAGTAGACTCGGTTTCTGGCCTTGAAGATGACCCGAGATGATCTTACCAACTCCAACGGCCAGACTCCATCGCTGGGCCTCTAGCACCCCAGGCTGACGCGGGGTAGGGTATTTCTGGGATAATTCTGCCAGGATCGAGATATAAAGTACAGGATCAGCATCGTGGAATCCCCGCACTGTTGCTCGACTGGGGTATCGCCGTTGAGAACTCGGGGTTCGCGCTATTATAGGCCGGCTCCAAAGAGACTCTGCCACTCGAAATTATTCAGAGATACTATTCGTGATCTGTATCACTCGGGGGCGACCCGGCCCAAGTATATAAGCGTGGACTTTGTGTTTATCACACGGACCTGGGAAAGATGCGAATTGACAAAGGGAGCTCTTGTTGAATGCTGCGGTGGTGACGGCGACAGCTCCTGACGCGCCACACTCGCATCACCTGGACAATCAAGTCTTCATCCGAGTTGTAAGCCGACGACGGCGGCCAAACGCATGCTTGGTACAGTTGGAACTTGAACCCCCATCGTTCGTCTTGATCGACCCCAGCAATTCGGACCCCTGGTCCCTAAGACCCTGAGGGATGATCGTGGATCGACAGTGGGGGATATTACGTCGATGCGAATGATCGACATAAGCTCAAGTTTCATCAAAGTCGTATAGAAGCGTTAGCGTTGAGTTTGAAAGCCGGTCACGCGGGACTGGAGGCGGCCACGGAGAGAAGTTGACTCTGTCTGGTGATGGTGACCGATGAGCTGTGCTGACGGGATTCTGTGAAATAAGTTGCTCAGAAACTTGGAAACAGGACTTGGGGTCAACCAGATAGTACTAAGTGGTGCCGATCAGTCGTCGAACCTGTGAACATTGAAGCAACGATTTCCTTGTCTACAATCTCATGGTCTGATGCATCTCAGTCACACGGAGCAAAGTGCCTAACCGCTATGCGTCGGAGCACCCAGCTTGTTGCAGACGTGAAACACTTTGAGCACTAAGCAAGTACGCGTAGGCACAAGGCTTCGCGGGTGATATCGCTCAATCTTATATGAAGAGGGAATAGAGACAAGAATACCGTGAGAGGGGAGAATATCATTGGGCTCAACCTGGAAACGTGCATCGACGCCCAGCTTCGTTTGCGTTTAGAACTTGCAAAGGCACGTGGGCAGAGACAACCGACCAAAGGCAGGAACAGGTCCATGTCGCTGTGGCTGATGCTAAGTTAGCTGGCGGCGGCTAATGTCATTAATATACACACACCCCTCGGTCTGCCTACAATTACAACTTAAAGCTGCCCACCCTACACACAGTCACGGTCTACATTCTACATGTAAACAGGCGCATGTTTACATATCCAGGACAAGGCCGACTTTCAGATTGGACAAACTATTTATGAGTATTGAGGACAGAAGGTGGGCTCTTGGCCTAGTCATCAACAGCTTCGGTAAACATGTTGACTGGTAAGTTCATCACATCCACCAAGGCTTACAACAAGCACAAGTTTGCTAGATGTGATGACAGCAATTCATGAACGTATATTTATATCTGTAGTTTACGAAGACTCACGCCTGCGTGGACACTGCCGTCTTAGCCGTCGTCTCCATCAGAGGCTTAATGGGCTCATCCTCGCCGTCCTCCTTCATCCCGCCGAGGATCATCGACTTGGGCGCCATGGCCTGCCACATCTCCGGGTCCGTAAAGGCCTTGAACTTCTGGTCGTGCCACTGCCCCGCAGTGATGGCGCGTCCCTCCGAGTCGATGAACATGGTGTCGTCCTCGGCGCGCAGAAAGTAGGCGATGGAGTAGCGGTGCTCGGTCGGGTCAAAGGGGACGACGCGGTGGATGCAGCTCTGGAACTTCATGCCGGACGCGAAGCGCAGCGAGTCGCCGACGTGGACAAAGGCGCAGCCGGGCTTGGGGGCGACGAAGCCCATCTCGCGGGCGCCGCAGGTGCCGGGAGGACGGACCTGGAGACCCCACTGCTCGCTGAAGAGGAGGGTCAGGGTGCTGATGTCTGTGTGCTTCTGGTGACCGATGCGCTCGGGGCCAGTCTCCTCGTGAGGCAGGTAGTGCATCATGGAGAGCTTGGGTGGTGTCAGCATCTGTTCGTGTAAGGAGACTTAGAGGCTCACCGTAGTCGTGGATGGACGCTCGTTGCGGTGCTGGTTCTCAAAACGACCGGCACCCTGCAGGAAGAGACCATCTGACAGGCAAGACAGCATGACCTTTGTGATGGTGTTGCAACTGCCAATGGTGTTCTCTAGGATCCGGAGGTCACCGCTGGCCTTGACGGCGGCGGGGATCTTGGGGCTGTCGCGCTGGATCTCATCACGAGACACCTTGAGCATCTCGTAGCCGTCCTTGGTGCCCGCAGCAACACCAGTGCGGCTGCCCACAGGCTCGTAGCCGAGGTGGGAGGAGATGAGGCCAAACTCATTCTTGGCCTCAATGGGCTCAGCGAAGAAGCGCTCCATGAGCCTGAGGGTCTCCTGCTGGTCGGCCAGCATGCGGCGGCCGTCAATGCCCTGCAGGTTGAGGTAGAAGTAGCCCTCGTCCGTGCAAGCGCTGACCAGCTTGTCAATCTCCGAGGGATCGTGGGAGAGCAGACGACCGTAGTCGATGGTCTGCATGCCCCAGACGGGCACCTTCTTGCCCATCCAGTCGACGGTCTGCGGGGGGTCAAGTTGAGGAGCCATGGTGACTTTTGATTCAAGGTATACACAGAGTTGAGCAAGGGAAGAAGGGATCAATGTGAGAGCGCGAGGGAGGCCATGGCTATATACGAGGCACTGCGTACGGCGGATGTACTTGCTGCATCGTTCCGAGATGAACAGCTACCAGATAAGGATAAAAGGGTCTTGGGACGCTTGCGCGTCAGTGGACCCACGATCTTTTGGCATTCACCCGACAAGCGTGCATGAGGGTGAAGCAGACTGGAGAGACGAGGACGTGAAGAGGGGGCTGGTGGAGAAGATGAAGGACGCGATGCACGTGGTGTACATGTACCATGTAACCAACCCCGCTCCATCAGGGGTCTGGTCCCCCTTTTGCGAGCTTCTTGTCAAATCAATTCCTGTTTCTCATGATCGTGATTAAAATATCCGATAGCACGAAGTGGACTTGGCTGTGGTCTCGTCTCGTTGATCGGCTGGGCGGCCGATTCAATGTCCCGACTCTCAACTCTCAAGTGAAAGCCCATCCCTGGACTGCTTGTACTGATTGCACATGTTGACCCAATCGGAACAAAGTGCCCCTTTTTGGCCAACATCTCGTTTATCAAGTACAAGTAAACGGCTACTCTGCAGCATGGCCTCGTTGCTCACAAGTCACCCCAGTACATCCTCTTTGCCAGGAAGGAGTAGATATGCCGCCGCTATTCAACTCAACTATCATGACCCCTCACTGTAACCACAAAGAGCCCGGCCAGACTCTGTCGCTACCCGATAAATGCTACCAGACACGCATTGGAGGTCAACGTCTTCCTCGCTCCACTTATCAAGCAAGAAGCCGCCGTTGTTTTCACTTGCCCCCGCGGTGTTATCCTGTGCTGTAACGTGAGCGTTCCACCAACCCTCTCTGGCAATTGCTCGCTGAGGCTAGTACAGCACGAGACATCTAACCTCGATGCTCTGCCTCGAGTCACAATCCTGATAGGCTGGGTCCTCAAACGCAGAGTGCAGCGCGCGTCTCGCAACCTTCTCCTCCGAGTCGAAGCACTTGATGAGCAACACATCCTGCGGCGTCATGCCAAACTTGTAGTACCACCGATGCGAAGGGTTGTGACGCACAACCCAAGACTCCCCCATGAAACCATCCTCAGTCATCTCCGCCCCGACGAGATCCGCATCAGGCACGGAGGTAGAGTCCGCCACGGCAATGGGATCTTTGAGAATGGTGCGGATCGGCCGCCAGACGTTGATGATCTGATAACGCTTCTCGAGGAGAGCATCGGCCTCGGCGGGGAACTCCCACCGCAGACGTCGCTCGGCACCGTCATACGACTGATCGACATGCGTCCGCGTGACGGGCCCGCGGTTGGCGAGGTTCTGCAGACCCAGGTGGTGCCATTGTGTCGGCCCGCGACGGACTTTGTGGTTGAAGATGTGCACTTTTCTCGCCCCGGTTGTTGTCTTGATGAGCTGCTCGCATTCGGGGTAATAGGCGGCCTTGATGCGCTCGTCGTCTGTGAACATGTCCTCATAGCTCGCATGCTGGCACCACTGGAAGCCGTGACTGTCTAGATTGTACTGCGACTCATCACCGCTGACGTCGGATATCGTGAATTCATGTTCCTTGTGAGGTCGCTTATTGGTGATGTGACCTTTACCAATGAAGATAGGCGTGGGCTTGGAGCCGTCACCTGGGTCGTCCCAGTATTTGAGCTTTGAAGCTACATGGTGTTTCTTGACAGTCATTGTGTATTTTGGGTACGGGTAGCAGGATTCTTGACGGACTAAAGTACATGTAGATTGACAAAGTGCGAAGAAGAAGATGAAGCTTCCCAGGCGCAACACTAAGACGGAGCTTTATCAGGCTATTGGCAGCGCTAGTCCCAGGGGGCATTGAGCACTTGTTCAGGGGTCCTGATTAGGCGCGTAACGGGAACTTTTCAACGCCTTGGCGCTCTGCTCTGCCCCTCCAGTTCCACAGTCCACCACCCCACATGCTAATTATTGCTCCGATCAACCTCGCCCGCTTCACGCTCACATCTTTTCGTCAACGCCATGGACGAAGAGGAAGATGGCTTCGTCCTCGTGCCACGGCATTTCGAAGATGACAACTACCCATCCTACCTGTCGGACATTGAGCAGGTCGTCCTCCGCTTAGACGACCCCTCATGGACTCTCAACTGCTACCTCCACGATAATCCCGAACTTGGCTTCGCCGAGCACAAGGCCCACGATGCCTTGACCAAGTTCATGGGTTCCCACGCTGGCTGGAAGATCACCCCTTCGGCCTATGGCATGGACACGGCCTGGGTCGCCGAATACGACACCCGCAGGCCTGGGCCTGTCATCGCGTTCAACGCAGAAATGGGTAGGCGACTTTGAAAAACCATGTGAGACGTCAAGGTGACTTATTCGAACCGAAAAAAAAGATGCGCTCCCGAACCTTGGCCATGCGTGCGGCCACAACCTCATAGCCGTCGCTTCGGTGACAGCAGGCATCGCGACGGCAGAGACTCTACAAAGGCACAAGATTGGCGGCAAAGTTCTCGTTATAGGGACACCAGCGGAAGAAGGAGGCGGCGGCGGCAAAATCAAATGCCTCGAGGCCGGGGCGTACGACAACGTTGACGTGGCCATCATCTCGCACCCGGGGATCCTGAACAATAGCCCCATGGTGAGGACCACTGCGTACACACATCTCGACGTGTCGTACCGCGGTCGCGCCGCTCATGCCGCCAACAGCCCCTGGAGTGGCATAAACGCGCTGGATGCCCTCATTGTGGCGTATAATGCTGTCTCGGTGCTTCGGCAACAGACGCATCCCGACGACATTATTGGCCTACAGATCACGGACGGCGGGAACAAGCCGAACGTGATTCACGCGCACGCTGCTGGTGTTGCTGTTCTCCGAGCCACGAGCTCGCATCGCTTGCAAGAGCTTCGGCGTAAGGTCATAGCGTGTTTTCAAGCTGGTGCTGAGGCCACTGGCGCCCAGGTCCACATTGAGGAGACGCCAGGGTACAAGGACCACGTCCCGAATCGCGTGCTGGCAGCATCCTACGCAAGATACTGGAGAGCGATGCCAGACGCCCCTGATCCGCCGCTGCCGCCCCCTGGGCAGTATACCTGGGTCAAGGCCAGCACAGACCAGGGGAACCTGAGCTACGCGCTGCCGAGTATGAATGTCAGCTTTGCCATTCCCCCAGGCGAGAAGGGCGGACAGCCGCACAGTCCCGATTTTGCAAAGGCGTCTCGCACCCGAGGCGCCTTTCAGCGAGCTATGAGGGTTGCTAAGGCGATGGCAGGGACCGCGATGGATGTATGTGCGACGCCTGGACTGCTTGGGGATGTGCAGGCGCAGTGGAGACGTGATATGGCTTCTATGGCTGGTCAAGAGGAGTCTCCTGGGAACGCTGCGTCCATGGCATAGATTTATTTGGCTTCTTGACTACGCAGGGCTCGTTTTGAAGACAAGCTTTGAGTAACCACTGTATAACCCCCTGGCAACAGTAAAGGAACCACAGATGGTCACTTGTCAGTGAAGCTCACGGTGTAGGACTACTTTCATACAACCTGAAGGATAGACCACACCGTAAAAGATACCGCATAGATCACCCAGTGGCTAAGGTACAGGTGGCTGGACCCCGCGCAGGCACCATCATGATGCCCTGGTTGATATGTCTAGTCTGACATGCGGTAATGGGGCACAGTGTCTCAAGGAGCCTTTTACGCAGAGGTCTGCTTCACACCTATTGGGGTCTTTTTCTGGCGTCTACATTGGGCCAAATCGCGGACACGTTTCCTGATGCAGGGTCAGACGGCACTGGCAGGCTTCTCTTGCGTCCTGACTCCTGCGCAACCAGTTCCCCACGATGCTGCCGTTGCCGCGCGAGCTATAAGGATCCGAGAAAGAGTGCGATGCACGGTCGTAGGATTATGGAATTTATGAATTGGCTGAAAGTATCATGGTCAGATATGACATTATTCATGGAGTGTTATTCTGAAGACATGGCCTTCGAACGAGACTCGACATGGACTGGATGTTGGGATCGTGGATATTCCCAGTCCTGCGCTATCGGCACGCCTCTTAGCGGCCCGCCCCCCAGCCACCGCCCGCTGGCGCAGCCCGTCCAGTCCTTTGTTCAATCAGAGTGGCGCGTTTGCGTGGCGCCCACCCTCCAGTCTCCAGACTTCCAGAGCTCAGCGACCGCCCACGTTTCTCTCTCTCCTCGCACCTGTTGCCCTCAATGACCCGCAAGGCTGGTGGTCCCCTGGACTAGCAAGGGCCCGATGTACCTCTCAGTGCGTCTCACGCAGCCGAGGTACTTGCGCTTGGCATGACGCCCATCCTTGCCCATGCACATCACGCTCGTCACCCGTGTGAAGATGGTCTCAGATCTTCGTTCAGCCGCGGAGGGCCGCTGCCGCCTGCATGGTCAGCTCAGCTGCTAATTACTGCGGCGGCGGCGTCGTTCTTTCGCTGAGTGATTTGCACTTTTGATTCTCTCCTTTCCTTGATCATGCGCACGCGTCTCACTCAAACGAACCTGACAGCCTAGACGAGGACAGACGAGTCACGACGACAACGCAACTTACATGCACACAGAGCGCCTCGAAACCTCGAGATCGAAACCCCGCGGACTCATTTGGCCTCACCCCGCGACGGCGCGACTACACGCTTGTTTCCATCGACAGAGAGAGGTGAACAACCACACAATCGCCACCCGGCAACAAGGGACGACACCAGTCGAGCTGCCATTTTGGAGGCCAAGATGATGGAAGAGGTCGACGACCTTGTCTTGACATCCTTTCGGGACATTGTCGACAAGGCCAGAACGGCGCTGCACAATGCTGGCGAGGAGAACCCCGTCATGCTCAAGGCCGCTCAGGCACTGCTCAAGGAGGGTGAGCGAGCCGTCAAGAGGATCGAGCCGCAGTGTCGCAAACACCTCGACGACTACGGTTCGAGCTTCATCGCCGCCCTCAAGGACAGCGATGAGATTGCCACGTTCCGAGGGCAGCTGACTGATCTCCTGTGGGAGTTTGACGACTACGTCGAGCCGGACGACTTTGACGCCGACAAGTTCACCGAGCTGCAAATGCTCTCGCGCAAAGCGGCGCCGCGAATCTCCGATGCCCTGTTGCGGATGAAGATTGAAGCGCCCACTAGCGACGCCGCCTCTTCGCGGGGGTCCATTGCCCAGATGCCGACACCGACATCGCCACACGCCGCACTCATGCCCGGGTTCACAAGCCAGCCCCATCGGGGGTCCGCGGGGAGCTCCATGGCTGACAGTAACGATGCCAGCAGCCTGCTCCGAGGACTCATGCGCTCACCCACGGGTCACGATAGCATCCACGATGCGGCGCGGGAGCAGCCTCGGCCAACGTCAGCAACCCATTTGGACTGGAACGTCAAGGCAGGGGACGATGGTCGACGCCCCGTCGAACCACCGGTCGAAGGAAGAGCCGAGCTGAATGAGTCGCCCGTCCTGCCAAAGTCGACTCTCCAAGATGATCCAAACGGCAGATTCACAGTGGTGCCTCCCCCTCCTGTCAGCGCAACTGGAGGCGGGTTTCCGGCTCCGGAAATTCACGAGATGGAGGATCGTCGTCCGAGCGGCATGAGCCAGCAACCTGCGCCTAATCACCATCAGTACCATCACTCACCGCACCCGCCTCGCCGGCAGCCGACGTTGCCCAACTTTGCAATCCCAGAGCACAACGTGACCTCGGCACAGCCTGGCTCGATCCCGTTCTTCCAACCCTCGCAGCCCTTTTCGCCCACGTCCCAGCACTCCCGACAACACTCGTTTCCACTATCCGAGCAGTCAGACGAGTCCCTACGGCCCGACCTCATCAGCCTTCCCTCCCATGGTGACCCGCGCGCCCGCGGCAACTCCTTCAACTCCAGCATCGGCGTCAGCCCCCTACAGCCACCGACACCAGCCATCCCAGGAGCCCAACCTATAGTGCAGCCCTCCGCTGAGATGGTTGCCATGATGGGTAGCGCGCCCATTCCCGTAGAGACAGAGCTGCCACCCAAACCGACGGCCGAAGGATCGGGCGAGCTCAAGGGGGCCAAGATTGACGAGGCGAGCTCATTCCTCCTGGCCAAGGGCTTCTGCGAAGGCGCAAAGGAAGTCATTCGCGGAGGCATCGGTGTCAAGAGGACGAAGAAACCTGTAGCTATTAGTGCCCTGGTTGGGAAGAACTGCAGCGCTAACGTTAGTATAGGGCTTCGCGACCGCCGCCACGGTAGCGCGATGTCTTGCCTGTCTGTATGAGCTTGACTTTGCCGAGATTGAGACCGACGTAAACGGGGAGGGTAAGATGACCCCCTTTCTCGGGAGACGAGAGAGTACTGACAGTGGCCGCAGAGAAGGGCAATTTCCAGCGCAACGGCATCAACTTTCGCGTCCGCTTCCTCCAAAAGAGCCACATCTCCACGAAACGTGTCGACGACGTGCAATACGCGTGTATGTTTTGTGTTCAGGCAGGGCGCACCATCCACGACAGCGACGCCACCGTCTTCTTCAACCAGAAAGCTCTCTTTGAGCACCTCGCGCGCCACCCGCGGCCCCTGCCCGAAGTCCCCGGCGTGACGGTCATTGAGGGCACCGCCTTGCCCGAAAAGTACCGCAACGACTACGACATTCACTTCAAGCACCCCACACGGCCGCACCCTGTCATCGAGCGGGCCGACGAGCTGATCTATCGCCCGTCGGCCGTGTCACTCGACCAGGCACGGAGGATGTACGGTCAGCGTCTTCTGTACGATCGCTCGCCGGCCCTCGAACTCGCACAAGGCGCGCGGATCAGTGGTCTGACCTGGCCCTCGCAGTACAACGGCGAGTGGGCGTTTGGCTGGCACGACGGGCACTATGCGTCGGTGCCCTCGCTGCTCCTCAAGCTGGACGCCCCGTCGACGAGCGAGATTCGATATGATCGATCGAGTATCATCCGCGCCAAGGCGCGATGGCGGTTCTCCGTCAAGGAGAAGGAGAAGAATGCCGACTGGCTCAAGTTCGACAAGGGCGAGACCATTACGAATATCTCGTGTACGTGTGCCTCTTTCTCTAAAGGGGGCCTTTTGCTGACCTGTTCATGTAGACGTCGATGTCGAGCACTGGTGCTGGACGGGCACCAACGCCAAGGGCAAGTCGGGCATCTTCCCCAAGGACTTTGTCGACCCGGCCACGATATCCGAGCCCACGAGCACGGCGACGGCCAACCGCGCGGGTTCGCTCAGCGAGGAAAAGGCGCGGTCCGCGTCGTCGATGCTATCCAAGTTTTCGATTCGCAAGAACATGGGCCGGCCACCCAGTATATCTGGTTGATCAGGCGGCGGATGGGTTTTCGGTTGTTTTGTTTATATGATGTACATGCGTGGTAGGTAGGTAACGCTTAGTCTGTCGTGGGGGCGAGCAGATCTGGCGTCTGGTGTTTTTGCGGGATACCCCTGATTCCAAGTGCGCGCGTGCGGGCTTCATTCCATAGACAATGCGTTTGGTAAATTGATGTGGCGTGATTCTGATCATTCCAAAAGTACACATGGGACGATTGTTGTTGGGAATTGGGGCGCAGCGACATGTAGATCGCTGAGCACGCGCGCATCGTCATGGCGTGGGGTTGTTGGGGAGTCTGTTCGCAGCGGTTGATTGACATCCATGAAAGGCACTTTTGGATCAATCACTGAGCCGGTTCACCGCATCCTCCTCTCCTCCCCGGTCCAAGTCACAGCGGACCGGGCGCGGCGTTTACACATATTCTCCGAGTACGCAGACCACGGACGTCCAGTCTGGGCGCCTTGTACATGAGTTCAGGAATCCCAAAGGGTTTATATATAAGTCAGTCTTTTGGGTTCTAGCAAATCCTGCTCAGGTTCTTGTACTTTGTACTCGGTAGCTCGATCGCAGTTGTTCGACACGAGACAAATCATCGACGAAACCCTCGCCAAAGCCTCCGCCGTTACGACGCCAGAACGTATACATCAGACAGCGAACTGAGCATGCCCAGAGTAGGGACCAGTTTCAATAAAATTCAATTCATGATTCAGTATGCCCGTCACGAAAGAATCGCCATCTGAGGCACCAGTCCTCGACAGCATTGCCATGGTCCCACCAGAATCGTCTGCAGAAGAAGGCCCAATATCAACACCACAAGACAGAAAATGGTCCATCCACTCGCCATGGGCAAAAAGAGGCATTGTTCTATGCTCGGCCATGACCGCCTTCTTCTCCCCCTTTTCGTCGCAGATCTACCTCCCCGCCATGACATCCATAGCCAGCGACCTCGACCTCTCCATCTCCCAGGTCAATTTGACCGTCACCACCTACATTGTCACCCAGGCCATCCTGCCCATGTTCGTGGGACCGCTGGCAGATACTTTTGGACGACGTCCTGCGTACCTCCTCTGTGGCCTCATCTACATCGCAGCCAACATTGGACTCGCCGAGGCACCAAACTACACTGCGCTTCTGGTTCTCCGGAGTCTCCAGTCAGCAGGCTCCAGTCCCACGGTCACGCTCTGCGGTGCCGTCATTGCAGATGTGGCCACGTCCGCCGAGCGAGGGACGTATGCTAGCATCACTGGTATCCCTACTGTTCTTGGCCCGGCACTGGGACCAGTGGTGGGAGGCCTCGTGTCGCAGAATCTGGGATGGCGCTGGATCTTCTGGCTGTTGACTATATTGGCTGGGGTCAATCTCTTAATCATCATCTTATTCCTCCCCGAGACGTGTCGCGCCCTTGTCGATGATGGGTCTGTGGCGCCACCGAGGCTGTATAGGACGGCATGGCAATGGACGGCGGAAAGGCGAGCAACAGGCGACATTCAAACAGAAAATCCACAACAGCGCGATGAGAGACCAAAAAAGCCTGTCATGGCTAGTATACTCGGCAACTTTGCCATGTTGTGGGAGAAGGAGACGGGCCTGCTACTGGGCAGCGGATGCCTGCTGTTTGCCGCGTACACGGGTCTCACAACAGCCCTGGCGACAAACTTTGCGCGGGCGTACGACTTGAGTCCCACGGACACGGGGCTCATGTATCTCCCCATGGTGGCCGGTACTCTGTTGGGCGCCATCCTCGCGGGGCCCATGATGACCTGGAACTACAAGCGGCACTGCGCTCGCCAGGGTGTTCCCTACGATCGTTCGCGGCAGATTGATCTCTTGGGTTTTCCTATTGAGAGGGTGCGTCTCGAGATTGGGATTCCCTTCCTCGCCGCGAGTGGTGTCGCCATCATGGCATGGGGCTGGGCGGTGCAGAGCAAGGTGCACCTGGCGGCACCTTGTAGTATCAGTGCCGTCGTGGGACTCGGGATGACAATCTTCAACAACACGATCTGGGCGCTGTTGATGGACATTCACACGGCCAGGGCGGGGACAGCGACAGCGGGAGCGAACCTTGGACGAGGGGTGGTGAGCGCGGCCACTACGGCGTTTATTGCGCCTGCCATTGATGGACTGGGGATGGGTTGGACGTTTACCGTTCTCGCTGCTCCCTATGCGATTCTGGTTCCTATTATGTGGTATGTCATGGCGAATGGCATGCGATGGAGGGCTCAGCAGGCCCAAGTACTGGTTGGGAGAGCGCAGGCAGATGGAGAGGATAGTGGCGGTGTCGAGGGCCATGCTCCGTCTGGGAAGTGAGGATGTGATGAAGCGTACTGGGGGTCACAGGTCTCTGGCAGAATGCGGTGATACCGTTGGCCAGCGCGGCGCTCAGGGGTGAGTGAGACACGCTCTTTGAGACTGCGCTCCCAGACGCAAGCTCTGAGCACCGTGGCAGCATCAACTGGCACAACCATCCTATATGTTGTACTGCCGTATACATTTATCTTCAATCCGAATGCGGGCGACCTTGGCAGGGAGACTGGTTACGTGCACTCTGAACTGTGCATACTGGGTGCGTCAGGCACGTGGCTTCGGATGCCCGAGTGATATAAGAATCCGGCTAATATTGACCAGACGTGAGCTGGCATATGACGTGGGACGATCGAGTTGCGTTGCAGAACAAATTGGCGAGATAGGCTGGCGCACACAACATGAAGGGGGCATGAACTTTGTTTTGACAGCTTGAAAGTTCATGTTCCCTGGGAGTGGAGCAGCCCGCGCTATGGTGGCCTTTCTTCTTCCCATGATACGACTGAATGATAAGAAGAATTGAAGCCCTGTTGGCTCAGGCACGGTGACTTGTTCGAGCTGAAACGTCAAAGGGACGATTGGCTGCGGTTGGCGTTTCGATGCTTGGCATCCTGACGGCGGTTACGCGTGTGGACTCTCTGGAGGCGCTGAGCCTGCATGTGCAAGCCAACTCTGTTAGTCGTTGCAAGATCACCACAAATCATCGATATCAAGTTGCGAGCAGAGGAGCTAATAGTGTCTAGCGACTTCGACAGGATGAAGGTAATTCTAAGGTAGTATAGAATAAGAATGCTGGAAATCAGCCCAAGGGCTGTGTGTCCGTGAGGGTGGCGAACAGGCCTGGAAGATCGTAATTGCCGGGCCAAGAGACTTTCTAAACAGTCATGAACCTTGCCAGTCCGGGATTTCATCCTCGATGAGAAAAAGATACCTGGTATGCTCGAGCTCCGTGGAAAATCGACCAGACATGCCGTGTACAGGGTATGCATTTTTGTTCACCTGTTAGCCTTTCAAATTCAGCAGCCCTTCCGAGTTCCGACTGTTCCTTTCCCACACAACGCATGAACTCGCCCGCTCACCGAAACAACGATGCTGTCCACATCGCGGTGGCTACCGTCTTCTCTTTTTCTTCGACGCAGACTTCTGTGTAACCATTTATGATCTCCCGCCAAGATGCACTAATTACCCAGCCAAGACCGCCAACAGGTGCCGGCGGCAGCATTGAAAGCCCAGCCCCATCCTGAAACGCCTTGTCTGCCCTATCGACAAGCGCGCAACCACCTCAGGTCGCGCCCCTTACCGCCGCGCTGGCGCCGCACACGGACGTGGCAGCCACTCTGGGCGCAACCTCTCCCCTTGGCCACGTCTTGGACGATGCTTGGCTCTCTGGCCGACATGCAGGCTGAGCCACTCCAACCACTACGCTACCTCAACCTCCGACGTGGGACATGGCTCGCAAGATGAGCAAGGAGGCTCGCTGGGACCGGCCCGGCGCCTGGCGTCTTTGTCGGTCGTTTCACTGCGATGATGAAGCGCCTGGATATATACCTAGTATCCTCGCCGTTGCCTCAACTGTTGACCATAGAAGTACAGTCGCTCGTTTTGTTTGTCTCTTCTACTACTTGCCCACGGGCTCAACCGACACTCGTTACTACAGACATGCTTGTCAGCGCTATCGTTACTGAAACAGAATCTGAGAATTAAACATGCACACTTCTTACTATTGGGCGGCAATGCCCCTTTTGGCTGCCTCGGCAGCCGGCGCAGGCACACAGGAGTACGTGGACAACGCCATGAGCGCCATTCAAACACTCAACGACGAATGGTACAATGTACGCACGGGCATCTGGGACGACGCATGGTGGAATTCGGCCAACATGCTCACCACACTCGCCGACTTTGCGACACTCCGTCTCGACGAGGCCAATGACCTGAATGTCGGCGGCTACATGCGCAACACCTTTATACAAGCCCAGAGCGAAAATGTCCTCACAGTCAAGCAACTCTCCGTCACAGGCATGGTCACATCGGCATACTGCATCGACGACGACGTCAAATGCAAGACGAAGAGGCATTTTCTTGGGAAGCGTGGCTTTGACGACTTTATCAACGAGTTCTACGATGACGAGGGATGGTGGGCTCTCGCGATGATCAGGACATGGGACGCAACAGGTGATCAGGAGTACCTGGACTCCGCCGTCACCATCTTCGAGGACATGCAGACGGGTCTCGGAGGGCCTTGCAATGGCGGCATCTACTGGAACAAGGACCGCAAGTACGTCAACGCCATTTCCAACGAGCTCTACCTCTCTGTGGCCGCATCGCTGGCCAACCGCATGCCCAACCGCGACTATTACCTCACCATCGCAAGGGATCAGTGGGCCTGGTTCCGGGACAGCGGCATGATCAACAAGGACAATCTCATCAACGACGGGCTCGACGGCAAGTGCAAGAACAATGGCATGCAAACTTGGTCGTATAACCAGGGCGTCATCCTCGGCGGCCTGACAGAGCTGTACCGCGCGACGGGGAACAAGGATCTCCTCCGCAAGGCGCACACCATCGCCAAAGCGGCCATCAAAGCCCTCGCCAACGACGAAGGCGTCCTCGTCGAGACGGACAAGTGCGAGAAGCGCAGCGGCAACTGCGGGCGTGACGGGCAGTCGTTCAAGGGCATCTTTGTGCGCAACCTGCGCTATCTGCACGACATGGCGCCCGACGACGAGTTCAAGGAGTTCATTGTCAAGAACGCAGACGTCATATGGGCGGACAATCGCAATAAGCAGAACATGCTGGGCGTTGCGTGGACGGGGCCGTTCATCAAGGCGACGGGCATGTCGCAGGGCGCGGCGCTCGATGTGCTCGTGGCGGCGATTGGCGTGTCTGATTGAGTTCGATTGAGAAAATACTATTGGTTTTGGGATACTTTAGAAAGCGAAGGGAGTCTTTGGATTGGGATAAATGGATGGGGGCTAGACAGTGGCAGACCACCAAAGGGCATATTTACTTAGAGGACCATTCACACTTGATACCACGAATCGACCAGTATGCAGCAATGGCTGTATATGCCAATCTTATAACTGCAGACTAGATGTCGACCACGACGGCCCGACTTCGTACCTTGCCCGTGTTCCCATGCATCTGCGCCGCATTCACCATCAGCCCGCCCCTGTTGCTGCCCGGTCCGCCCATGAGCCACTTCCACGCCACGCTCTCGAGGCCGAGGTACAAGACCGTCGCAACATCCCACCACAACGCGCAAGGGAAACACTCCCTCAGCCAGCCCCGCTTAGGCCGCGCCATGAGTCTCTCGTAGGCCGTCTGCAGATCGTCGTAGTACGCCGGTGACGAGCCATAACCAAAGTGGACGTGGCCAAAGATGTGCAGTCTAGGACGGACGCGGTACAGTTCACGCAGGAGATGCGGATCGCCGAGGGCGAGGTCGTGGTGGTGTTTGGGCGGAGAGTGGGTGATGAGGATATCTGTCTCGGGAGGGATCTTGCTGAGCCACGGGTGCTCGTCTGGCTGGTATTGGAAGCTGGGATCGTGGGTCAGATCATGCTTGTTTGGAAGATGACACCAACAGCGTGTGTACTTACGCGAATTCAGGAGGTCCAATGTTGGGGATATCCGGGACCCCAAAGATATGAACCTTTCGACCCCTGATTTCCTGCACCGTCATCTGGCTCTCGAGGTACACCACGCCGTCCAGATCGACCTGGGCCCCGGACTTGACATCCTCGTCCCGCCTCGACTTGGGGTCAAACCATGAGTCGTGGTTGCCCGCGATGACAATCTTGACGGCGTGTGGTTGGCGCTTGAGCCAGTCGATTTGCTTCTGGATATCCCTCACGGTGCCCTCGTTCGTCAGGTCGCCCGCGTGCACCAAGATGTCGCCCTGGGGAATGTGAACGATTTGGTCATGGGTGTCGGAGATGGCGACGACACGGATCTTGGGGTGGGCGGGATGAAAGGGGTGACCTCGTAGGAGGAGCACGACGTGGTAGAACAGACTTGTGAGGTAGGTCAATGGCGAGAGAAGGAGGGAGTCGAGAAGGGTGAGTGGCTGCCATTGGTTGCGCCTGCGCAAACCGAGCCATTGGAGAAGACCCATTGTGTCGATGGTATGGTGTCTGCTGAGGTCGAGTGTCACTGGCGATGATGGCTCATGTCGAGCGAGGGGTGGGTGGTGAGTGAGACGAAGCTGATGAGACGATCAGGCATGAAGACCCACTGACATCATCCGACGGTGTTGTTGCAGGTGCAGGGTAGGTGATTTGTGGTTGAGCTCAAGTCGACCCAGCGTCGCACCGACTTGCAGGCTTCTTCCTTCCAGAAACCTCCGACTCCATCCCCGACGCATGTCAATGTTTTTACGGCAACCTGATCTCCAAAACGACTGGAGACAGGAAGTTGAAGATGCTACTAATAAATGGAGTTCGGCGAGGAGAAGATAAACACAGTCATGTACAGAAAAAAGACACACGATTCAACTTACCTTGACGCCTCAGACATCAACCTCACAATGCGAAGCGCGTGAATCTGTCGCTATCACTCACTCGAGTCCTTCCCACCCTAAGATTCACCCAATTCTATACAATGTCTCACCTAATAGAGTCTTGGGAAGACGAGAAGCGGCACACTGTCTGGGATCCCGCCAGGCCAGCGACGCAGCCCATCAACCTCTCCAATGCGTCGCCTCAGAATCAGTCGCTATTCCTCGCAAAGCTTCCTCTTGGAGTCCGGCACGTCATCTACGGTCATCTCTGGGCGCTCAATGGTTTGGAGCAGCACATCTTCGCGGAAACAGTGTGGGACGACGAACCGGTGATGCAGGGACTACACCTGCCGCCGGTAGTCAGCACGTCCACGGTATCCGAGAATCGGAATAGCGAGAATCAGAGGTTTGGATTTCACCTAGAGTTACACAGCTCTGAGAAGCCGGGGAACGCGGATATAGACGCAGACACGCCGGAAGAGAACGACAGGGATTATAACAGTGGCAGCCACGCTGATGGGAGTCTGATGAACATCGACGACAGCATCGAGAACGAGTCTGATCACGACGCGGACGACTACTTTGCACAACACCCTGACAGTCCTCCCTACGTCTCACCGGCTCACAGCATGGCCGACTCATCGCGCTCTCCCTCCATCAGAGGAGCCTGCTCCTCTCCTTCGTCCTTGCCTCCAGACACGCAGGTGGGCCACATCCGCCGCAGACGCTGCACAACCGATTACGCCCATCCAGATATATCCTCGCCCAACCGTCTTTCTGCACTATGTGACAAGCGTGCCAAGCATTGTGAGCGTCATGGCCCAACCTTTGTCGACGGGACGGACCCCACCTGGGATGAGACGTGCTACTGCTGCAAGGAAGCGTACGACTGCTTGTTTGCCAAACACAGCAATCCAGATCCTCCCAAGGAACGTTCCGATTTCATGGCCATGCTGCTCGTCTGTAAGAGCATGTACGGCGAAGTACTGCCGAGTGTCATGGAGCATGTACGATGGAGCTTCACCAAGCCCCAGCATCTTTCCCAATTCCTCAAGATGCAATTCCCCATGATACATCTCATCCGGCGGATCATTGTGCTCTGGGATATCAGGCAATCGTTCGACTCCCAGCTCGCCGAGTGGAAGGCAAGTCTGCCACTGCTGGCTGCGATGGAGAATCTGAAGGAGCTAGAGATATGGATGGATTACAAGCGAGCATGGGTCAATAACGAGGAACGTCTCGAGATGGAGGATCCGCGACAGGCCAGGATATGGGCTATGGCGCCCACGAATGTGCAACTGCGCGTGACATATCCGAAGAGGGTGGCGGAAAGCTATTCGCATGAGCCGGAGGACGCAGCGCCGTATCTGGTGAGGTTTGTCAGAGGGACAGGCGGCTGGGTCAACCTCCAAGAGGTGCACAGTGATACAGAGAATTAAGTTACGTGGTTGCTTTGACTTATTCAGACGATGTACTTTGCAAATTTAGTCCAAGGGGTATGCCATTACCCAATGCAGAACAACCAGACGCATCACATTCGGTGCGGAAGACACCTTTTTTAGAATCCCGACTTCATAACCGATGATTCACTGAAGATGAAACACGGACGTGAGGCAATAAAGGGAAGAAGAATGTCAATAAATATGTATGCATCATACATCACACATGGACTTATTGCTGGCCTCTTGGAGAGCATGGTAGCTCCAGGGTAAGGCAAACTTGGGAGCAGGGCCACTGACATCATCCCGCTTCGCTGACCCCTAAATCTGCCGGCGCTTTGACAGTGGGTCTATGCAAATGTGAGCCAGGCACCTTCGGCCCTCGGATTTGTAATAAGAAGTAGATACAAAGTATGAGATGTGCTTAAATGATGGGATGGCACCATGAACGACTTTAGCTCTGTCACCCTGCTGTCAAAAATTGCCAGTTTGCCAAGTGCAATGGGGAAGTCCGATCTTGTCTGCTAATAAATTGCGGATGATTGCCTGCACGCACTAACTCAGCGCTAGCAGCTACAGCTATAGCTACAAGCTGCGGCGACGTGCTGGAGCTTCAGCTGGCGCTGGCATGTGCGGGTGGTGGTGACGTCTTTTGTGGTGATGCCCTTCGTCAAGCAAGCAAGCGTGCAAGCAGGTTGGCAGGCAAGCAAGCTTTTCCTCGACCTCGTTCCAGTTCGCAGACTTCCCATGCCCTCTTCCTAAGCACTGGCTCCCCTTCAATTGTCTTGTCTCATTCTCAATCGTCCCCTAGGCCCAGATAATAAAGGGAAGTAAAAAATGTCCACTCTCAAGGGCCTGTATGGCAAACGCGACGATGGCGGGGTCGAATCCAACTACGGGTGTGTCTTCATCATGCCAGCCTACCATTGCTGCTGCGAGCCCAAAAGAATTGACACGCTGACGATGAGAACCCCGTCCACAGAGTAGACTATGTCGTCCACCACAAGATCCCAGCCGCGGAGCGCGAGGCTGCCGAGGCCGCCTTCATCCAGCTCATCACCGCTCTCACAAAGGTTGGCCTCGCCACAGAGGTCCGCCACGGTGATGGCTCAGATCTCCTCGTTTTTGTCAAGATTGCATCACCAGACTACCTAGCGAAACACGTCTACCGTGCCCGTCTGCAGGATTGGCTCCAAGGCGTGCGCTCAAACAGCCCCAACAAGGACATCTCGCAGGCGCTCGAGGACGAGCCCGTCACCGAGGCGGAGCGTTCGCGCCTCGTCTACCTAATCCTCACTAAGCCTACGGACGACGGCGGTGCAGGCATCACGCCGGGCAATGGCAGCTGGAAGTACGTGGAGAGCATCTTTCCCCTGCACAACCACGCCTTCAACAAGGCCTGGATACAGAAATGGAGTCGCAAGTATCTCCTGGACCAAAGCGACCTAGACGAGATTCGCAACAAGTTTGGCGAGGATGTGGCCTTTTACTTTGCCTTTACGCAGTCATACTTCCGCTTCCTCATCTTCCCCTCCGCGGTGGGCCTCACCGCCTGGCTGTTCTTTGGTCAGTTTTCCAAGGTATATGCGCTCCTGAGCTGCCTCTGGTCCGTCGTCTTCTTCGAGTACTGGAAGAAGAAGGAGCTAGATCTTGCCATCTCCTGGGGCGTCCGCGGCGTTTCCAACATTCAGCGTCCTCGACCGGAGTTCGAGTGGGAGTATGAGAAGGAGGACGCTGTGACGGGCGAAAAGGTCAAGGTCTACGACCCCATGAAGAGGCTCAAGACGCAGCTGCTTCAAGTCCCTTTTGCACTGGCCTGCGTCACTGTCCTCGGTGGTCTGGTCGTGACCTGCAACTCTCTCGAGGTCTTCATCAACGAGGTGTACACCGGTCCCGGCAAGCAGTTTCTGCCCTTCCTACCCACTGCCATTCTGTGCACCATGACGCCGCTCTTTTCCGGGGTATTGATGAAGGCGGCTGAGACTCTCACGACGTGGGAGAACTATGAGAACGTAGACGGTAAGCTCTACGATTTCTTTACACATATTAGTGATCTTTTCGCTGACTTGACAGCCTACAACGCGGCTCTCGTCCAGAAGCAGTTTGTCCTCAACTTCATGACCTCCTACATGGCCCTCCTCTTCACCACTTTTGTGTACATCCCCTTTGGCCACATCCTCGTACCCTTCCTCAACTTCTGGCAGGCTACCGCGGAGACCCTGACGTTCTCCGAAAAGCCCCTGCCGACAAAGACATTTGAGATCAACCCCGCCCGCATCAGCAGTCAGATGTTCTACTTCACCGTCACCGCGCAGATTGTCAACTTTGCCACCGAGGTCGTGGTGCCCTACGTCAAGCGCCAGGCCGCCGACAAGGCAAAGGAGTTTCAGCAAAAGGACAAGCCCAAGGTGCAGGATCACCCCGAGGAGGCGGAGTTCTTGCAGCGGGTACGCCACGAATGTGAGCTCGAAACGTACGATGTCAGCGGCGACTACCGCGAGATGGTCATCCAGTATGGCTACCTGGCGCTCTTCTCCGTCGCCTGGCCCCTTGCCTCCACCTGTTTCCTCATCAACAACTGGTTCGAGCTGCGCTCCGACGCCGTCAAGATCGCCATCAGCAGCCGACGACCCATCCCCTGGCGCGCCGACTCTATTGGCCCCTGGATGACAGCCTTGGGCTTCCTCAGCTGGCTCGGCAGCGTCACCTCGTCCGCCATTGTCTTCCTCTGCAGCGGCTCCCAGGATGGCGCGCGCGGCACCACCTCGCACATCACCCTTGCCGGCGCCCTGGGCAGCATCATGTTCGCGGAGCACTTTTATTTTGTCGTCCAGCTGGTCGTGCGCCATGTCATGTCCAAGCTCGAGTCGCCCGGCGTGCAGCAGGAGCGCAAGGAGCGCTACATGATGAAGAAGCGTATGCTCGAGGAGACGCTGGGGCAGACTGTCGAGGGAAAGGACGCTGTTCCCGGACTTCAAGGTGGTGAGGAGACTACCCGCGAGGCCTTGGAGGAGGAGGCGCGGAAACAGTCGATACATGGCCACGGGTCACCCGAGGAAGCGTATGTTCTGCATTTGCCTGTCTTTGCTACTGCGAATACTAATGGTTCCAGCTTCTGGCAGCGCCAGCGTGGCATGAACGAGACGATCACAATGGGCCGCAGGATGATTGAGCAGGTGAGTTATCCTCCATGTCTGGAATTGACATGCACTGACGAGCAACGCAGTCGGTTGAGGAGAAGAGCAAGTCCCAGAAGCCAGCTCCCAGTCCCCAGGCCCAGAAGGAACTGTGAACCAAATGAATAGGCCTCTGACAGATGGAGCAAGGAACTTGACTGCGAGTTGTCGGCAGCTATTGGCAGCTGTGAAAGAGAAGAGGTGTGAGATGGAATATCTTGACCTAGTGTCATACTAGGTACGAAACTCAAAAGAATGCAATCACAATTTATCCTATATGCATCTCTGTTGTTCACTAATGAAAACCAAAGTCATTGAACACTCAATGTCATTAACTCTCCATGTCTATGACAGAAAAAAACAAAAACGCCATCTATCTATGCATGCATGTGTGGGTATCCCAAACAAACCAAATCGCTTGTATCAATCTTCACAGCCAAAGGCGTCGTGCCCTCAGAGCACCATCATTATTCCCATGGCCACGACACCCCAGACCATCATGCTCCCAGGTCCCTTCTTCTCCACGCTTCCCGCGACAAACGGAATCGTCCCGTTGCCCGTGGGCAGCGCGGCACCGGTGATCATGGGCGGCGGCAACAGCATACTCTCGTCCGCCGCCGCAGGCGTGGCCGTCTTCTGCGCCGCAAGGCTCGCTGCGCACACGGTGACTGTAGACGTGTACAAGGCGTCCGCTACCCGTCCGCCCATGGCAGGGGGCTGCGGGATGACCTCTTGCGCGATCTGGCCGTAGATGCTGAACAGGGTCTCGCCGCCGCAAATTTGCGTGGCGTTGCCGGCGCATGGCGTCCCGCAGAGCGAAGGGTCCGAGGCGGCGCGGGTCTCGGCATCGAGAGACGCGGCGCAGTGACACGTGCGGCCTGAGGAGAGACCAGCGTACTTGGCGCTGCCGCACTTGCCCACGCAGTGCTCAATGGTCATGTCATCCGACTCCTCGGCGACTGTGAAGGTGGAAAAGGAAGATGTGGAGTCGAAGCAACCCAGGGAGGCGTAATTGTCCACCTCGGCAGGGTTGGCGACAGCGGCGACGGGTGTGGTGGCGCTAAAGGTTGCCTGGGCCGGGAGGGGCGTCGATGATTCACCCCCGACGGTGACATAGGCGGTCGAGAAGCTGGTCATGGTCGTGGTGGTCGTGGGCTCCGGGGTGGCAGCGGTCTCGTCCCAGGTGTAGGCCTTGATGTACTTGACGTCCCAGTAGGCGTTGGCAAAGGCCTGGGGGTTGTTGGCCACGTACGAGGAGCAGGTGGGCGCGTGGTCACTGCAGGTGGCGTCCCAGGTGGCGTCACCGTAGTCGCCGCAGAAGTTGATGTTGATGACGATGCTCATGTCGGTGAAGTGGCCGTCGACGTCGCAGCGCGAGCCGCCAAAGACAGCTTGGGGCAGCACCCAGGAGGAAGGGTCTGGGTTGCCGGCGTCGATATCGGCGGGGACCTCGTCGCGGGCAAAGTGCCACACGCGGATGACCTCGTCGTCCCACTGCATGGCGTAGACACCGCCGCCTACCGCGTTGAAGCTGTCGCCATAGGTGTGCAGATCGCTGTCGGGAGGGTTGAAGCCGCACCCAATGTTCTGGTCGCCGACGAAGCAATCATCATTTCGTTGTTCGCCAGAGAAGGCAGGTGTGGTGCTAGGCCCGGCGGGATCAAGGACGCAGCCGGGGCCGGTGTGTGCTGAGATGATGTTGTTGTGCGCCGTGTTGACGCCTTCGATGATGTCGAGCTCGCCACCTGCCGGCCAGTTCTCTCCATAAGTCCAGAATGCCGGCCAGAGTCCACACTGGGAAGGGGGCATGTGCTCAAAGTCGGCGATGTAGAGTCCATGGTTGAAGGCTTCCTTGCTTTCGAGGCGGATGCTTGGCCGACCCTCATCCTCGCCAAAAACGTTTGTGCTGTCGACGCCAAGACGGACGACGTTGGTGTCTGTGTCCAATGAAACAATGGATTGTGCCTCTGCGTCTGCGCGAGATTGGTAACTGCACCTTCATGTCAGTAAGCTGTGCAGCAAAAACCATTGAATGGTAGAGAGGAGGGATGGTGAAGGGGGGGGAGAGAGGGAAATTGGGAGGGAGGACGTACGCAACGTAACCATTGGATGGATCAGTGCCGTTGAACCAGTTGAACCCCGAGAGAAGGGACTCGCCCACATAGGATGTCGCAAGTGTGTAAGCCATTGTGATGATAGATCTTCTTGTTCTTTGTGCCTTGTGAAGAAGCTGAAGATGCTGATGCTGATGATTTCCAAATGACTGTCAACTAGAAGACGTCGTTGCCTTTTATCCTCGTCTTCCACGACCAGTCCGGTGCAGGAATTCTTCGCCAGCCTTACGGTCCATGTCCAAGAACGCGCCCCAACCACGGGTCTACCCACCGTCCACGCGGTATTGAGTGCCCAGAGGCGAGAAATAGAAGCTATCGCATTCCAGAAGATGGTCCAAGCCACATCAGCCACCTGTTGAATCTGCAAAAACGGGGGTTCAAGGGGACATGTGAGACACACCAGCCTCACATCACCAGCAGGGTGAGACACCATCCCATTCCAATGCCAGGCAGAATAGAGCAGTATTGGGTTCCCATGAATAGATGGTCGTCTCTAGAATTTTCAACCCCTTCCACAGTCGCGTGGACTGCCGCGTAACGCCATGCTAAAGCCACAAATGCAATACTGTTCATACATTGTGGTGAGCCAATAGCCCCAAGTGTCGACGGGATGTGACCTCAATATTCCTCAGACCATGATTCTTCGAAGGCCTTCTGTCCCGCCCAGCACTCGTCTTCCCGTGACAGCGCATCGGCCTTGTCCGCTCTCCCACTTTCCATCTCTGTTCTCCATGAATCCCTCCTGCATCGGGTGCATCCCCTCAAGCCAGCGATGGATGCATGTGTAGCAGTACACAACACCTGTCTGACAGGCTGTCGGTGTCACGATGTCTTCTTGGCATATCGGACACAGAGACGAATCGTCCGGTGGCACGACGGTGTATATCGGCAGCATCGAAGGAGTCGCGATGGGTGCGTTCTCGGCAATCAACTCCCCATTCTCGTCCTCCCTCTTCTCCACCTTCTTGTTCAGCTTGTTCTTCAAGGACGTGAGAACTGGTGGCGGGAGCTCAATGTTCTCTGCAGCTTTCCGCGTGAGCTGCTTTGCAAAATCACTCTGATACCACCATTCCAGAAACTTGAGCGCAAAGATGCTCATGGGCAGAGCAACTGACAATCCGCCCAGGATCCTCGGCCCAAGCTCCCTCGGGCTAAGCAAGCTCGTCCACCCTGGCGCGTGGCCGCGCTTGAGCTTGCCAGCTTGCGTCGTGTTGAGCGCATCGATGGCTTGATAATCTGCACCGTTCATCCGCCGCACCCTCGTCCCGATCAGCCACATGAGTGGGCTGTGGTACCGACTCCCATCGAACAAGTAGCTCAGGTTGAATGCCAGCATGGCAAAGCAGTACCCCGCGTTCACACTTGGATACACATTCCGCAAGAACCAGCGATAGTAGTGCAGGAATCTTTGCTTGAGCGTCGGATTGTCTGGCATGCGAGTGTAGGCTGCACCCAGCAACGCCCGGGGCGCATTGACCTCGTATCCGTCGTCCAGCTTCCTCTTGAGGTACGGGACAGCGACGAGCACCGCGAGGTTCTTCCACACATCCTTGTTGCTTAACCCTAATGTCTCCCGCGCAACATGGGGTGCCGTGGCGCTAGCACGGGGAATCTCGCCTCGCAATGCCTTATCTCGTTTCAGCCCATAGAAGTTCTCGGTGAACGAGCCGCCTCGCGTGCGCAAGTAATGACGCTCGATGAGGAGGAAGCAGAAGGCGTAAAGTTCGTCGAACGAGTTGAGGATTCGGAGGAGGTAGCGCGGATGACGATGCGTCGCGACGGTGAGCAGGTAGCGGAGCGTGGGTGGGAGGAGGGACGCGAGTTGTTGCTCGGAGAGAAGTTCGAAGAGGGAGGGTTTTTGGTCGTCAAAGGTGCCGCGCAGGGCGGTGACAAACTCCATATTGTCGGGCTGTCTCGTGTTATCGCCCTGTCATATGCTGTGTTGACATGGGCGAGGATGAGGATGGCGTCGTAGAAATGAATGCAAGACGATCAAGGCGCGAATTCGGACTCTGGAGGAAGTGACGGGAGAATCTGGGGAAGGAAGTCGCAACCGATAGCGGTCCACTTTTCCCATCTGCCTCGGCACTTGGCGTCTTCACCACCAACATGACGACCAACCCCCGACTCATGCTGCCGAACGCAGTGCTCTAACTCACAACGATGTGAACTTCTTTCGTTGTGCTGATCACATCCTCTCAGTAACAACACTGACAATTTGCGCGCTCAAACGCATTCACTCACTCATTTATAACATTGAAGACGGTCTCCCTCTACCCAATCAACAATCACCACTTCAACTTGCATCTGAGACAATGACCAGCGACAAGCAGCAAGCGGAGGCGGCTGCTGCAGAGATGCGTCTCTTGTTAGAGGGCACGCCTGAGCAGAAGATCCGCGCATGGCTCGAGCCCACCATCAACAAGCACGATGGGTGTTTCCGATCAGGTGTACGTCTCTTCCGACCCTGTCTCTCTCCTCCCCGCAAGCCACCAACTAATGCGCATGATGGCGGTAGAACTGGATGGCGGATCTGGTGCCGTATGTCACCGTGCACTCGCTGTCACCAGAGACCAACTCCCTCACACTGCACTTCACGCCGCAGTCGCAGCACTGCAATCGCCATCACATGCTCCACGGCGGCGCCATGGCGACGCTCTTTGACTTTCTGACGACACTCGCGCTTTGCTTTGTCAACGATAAACCTGGTTTCTGGAAGTACCTGGGCGTCACGCGGACCCTGAACACGACGTACTTTCGCCCCGTCGCGCAGGGCGAGGTTGTCGCCGTCGAGGTCTCCATCATGCAGGTGGGCAAGAAGCTGGCGACCCTCAAGGGCGAGATGAGGCGCGTCAGGGACGGTGCGTTGATGGCCGTGTGTGAGCATGGCAAGGTCAACACCGACGCAGACTATGCCAAGGCCAAGCTATAGATTTACAAGCACCAACGTAAATAACAAGAGAGTACACATGTGATTTTGAAAGTGCGCCTCACTCAGCTCGAGGAGGGCCCGTTCCCTGGTCCACCAGCCAAATCTGCCACTTCGCGTTCCTGATCCTCCAGCAGCCCATCCATCTCACCCTCCTCCATGCTCCCTAAATCCTCCTCGATATCATCCTCAAACACCATCATCCCCTCCACCCCGACCTCCTCGCCCTCGTCCTCGTCGTCTCCGAGTAGATGGCCAACCCAGCTGGGATCCCCTCTCACAATCCGCACGCCCTCTCTCAGCGCCCGTCTCGGATCCTCCTGATCGCGCGCCTTCCAAAAGGCCGTCGGCCCAGCAGGGCCATGAGGATCGTGGTCCCGATCGAACCACGTCCCCAGCACGCCCCGCGCCGACTTTGGTCCACCCACTTGCACGCCCTCGCTCGCCCAGCGCTCCTGGCCGTCAAACACGGAGACGCTCGTCCAACGTACGTCAAGCCCCTTTGTCATCCGGACAGTACCTTTGTTCACAAGACTCAGTTCAGCTCGGTCCTTCAGCTACACACTTCTTCCATCTGGTGGGAGGGGGGTCGAACAGCAGACTTACCTCGGAGATCAGAGTTGGCATTGTCATCAAAGATGTCGTCCAGTGAGCGTGACTCGCCTTCGTAGTGAACCACTGGCCAGGAGGGGTGGTCATCCGGGCCTGGTGGTTCGATCCGCACCACTTTGACCTCCATGATGATCAAGCGCGTCGCTTCGCCAGCGTGTAATGGAGGCATGGCGACGCTGTCGGGGACGTTTCGTGTTGTGAAGTTGAAGTGGAAAAAATCGCTGTAATCCAAGAAACACACAATCTGATAGTATCGTCGTCAGCAGCATGCCCTTTTTATCGTCTCCACGCGCAGGGAGAAACTCACTCGGTACCATGACCCTGACACGCCGTACGGATCGCGCTTGTCCAAGTCATCCAGCTCGTCGTCGTCTGGTTCGGTCTTGGGCACAAATGCCCCCCTGTACGCACCGCCAAACGGACAATCCCACACCTCGTCAAAGATCTTGCCCCCCGGCCATCGGCCCTTGACGTTCTTGCCAAGCACAATGTTGATGGCCTCCACCTTCTCCCAGTCCACTGTCCCGTCATTGTTCCAGGGACCCCATCGGTTCTCCTCCGTGAACCCCCGGATATCGTAAACCCGGCTCACGGCGTACGGATGAGTTTTGCAGCTGCGTGTCCGTCCATAATTCAGGATGGGCTGCCCATAAAGTACGTGGAGCTTGGCGCTCAGCTGTCTCTTTCGTCTAATTTCGCCGGGTGTATTGACACCACGCCCATACCACGTTTTCCCTGATCGAATGTGCTCAAACAGCCCACTTTGCTGAAGAAAGGCCATGCCGGTGATTCCATCACCAAATAGAGACTGCAGATAGGCCACGTTGGCAGATGGGGAGCCCGAGTAGAGGTTCTCCAGGGAGTTGGTGTGCGAGGCCCGGGACAGGATGCGAATACAGGTGTTGGCCACAAACTCCAGCTGGGACAGATCCACGTCTTGGGTGGTCGTGGAGTGGAAGATGGTGTCTAGTTTAATCAGATCCAACGTTTCCTGTTCCCATTCGATACCCTCCACTGGTGCCGGGGTATCCTATTTTGGACAGTCAGCAGAGCACATCATCGTCGTCGTCGTCTATTCCCCGTGTGTTCATCGCAGAGCGTACCATTTTGAGCAGATACACATCGCGCCAAAGAGTCCCATTGCCAACAATCAAGTCGCGGAACAGGCGAGAGACCCGTGCCGACGTCAGCACGCTGGCAGGGTCAAGCCAAGCGAATACATTGTGGAGGACCTCGGCCGGTAGATCCGTGATGTGGCTGGCTGAGGTGACCATGATCGCAGCTGGGCTTCTCAGTCACAAGATCCTCGACTTCTTGCTGGCGAAGGGGAATAAATGGAGGAAACAGTAGTTCAAAAGTTCATGCAGTGAATTAATCCTTGGTGGTTCAAGATGAACTGCTCGGACTTATGAGCCACCGGTGACGGACACTCGGACAGAGGGGTCACCACTCACTGTGACTGCTGAGTGGAAAAGCGGGGCACAACAAACCCCCCTCTACAACTGGCATTCCGGATATCGTCAGTTCGAGAGAGACGTGACATTCTGACGAGTCGCTCGATAAAAGTCCTCGTATAAGTAAGTAGTAAGGGTATCAGATCTTGTATTTACACTGCCAAGTAAGAAATCGCTTATTCTATATAACTAGTGCCAGGGCACGGGGTATCCTTATTCCTTCCAACATGATGTCTCCATCTCGACGTCGCAATCATCGCACGGTCCCGCTGAGCAACAAAACAAGCCCGCAAACATGTATGATTCCCACAAGAGCATCCCGCGCTCAGGACACCATGGCACCGCTATTCAAGGTGATGCAGTTGTTGAGCAGATTCGATCCCTCGTGCAGCAACTCCCACCTCGTCTCCTCAAACGTATCCTTCAGAACCAGAAGCAACGCCGTGTTGCAGTTCAGCCCCTTGGCCTGCTGGAGGTCATGCGGGTTGGATATGCTTCCAAACCGAGTCAAGTAGTCTCTCATCTGCTGCATCTTCTCACGATGGGACGAGGGATAGGCCACGTGTGAGCTTGGCCCTTCCAAGGCATAGCCGTAGCACCACACGACAAGCATGGCAAAGTACATGACCCATGGCCGATTCAGCAGCACATCATCTCGCGCGCGGTATGGCTCCTCGTGGTGATAGGCGCCACCCAGCGACGGTCCTTGCGCGTCGGGGATCAACACCGAGCACAGAAACTTGAGCGCATAATACGTGGCATCGCGAGCGCGCGCAGACGGCGCCCACGCGTCCTTGATCCTGCGCTCTGCGCTTTTGAATTCCTGAGGGCCGATCGCTCGCCCGAGAAGTCGCTTGGCTCGCGCGAACATCTGTACGTCCACGATATCGGCGTGCATGGCCATGTGCGCCAGATGATGTAGCACAGTCCGACTCTCAAACACAATGTTGAACTCATTCCGCTTAGCCGCGTTGTGGTGGTAGGGATCAGCATCGCTCCGCGGCAACGATTTGTCAAAGTCGGCTTTCCAAATGTCGTAGGCTCGAGTCAAGGTAGCCCGCCACTTGTCGCGACCACCCAGCGAGGACCCTACGCCGCCTCCCAACACATTGACTTGTAGATCACGTTGGTGCATGTGCCATGACACACTCAGCAGCCCCGTCATCAGCACAGTCCGCCCAAATGAGTTGGTCTGCACATCCTGGCCGCTCAGGGTTCGCTTCAGACCCTCGAGGAAGGAAACAGGCTTGATCCCGCGCGAGAACAGGTTCGACTCTAGCCGCCCAACCTCAGCACTGCTTGTGGCCTGCCACAAGGACTCGTCGCATGGCAACGGCAGCCTCATCTCATGAGCTACCATAACACCGGAATGCCCGAACATGGTGGCGTGCAGAGAGTCGACCACAAAGGCGGCAAATGCAGCCCTCCTTGTAGCTTCATTGGTGATCCACTGATTCCACCACTCCTCTGCTGTCTGCGCAACGCCAGACGTTGACGAGTGACGCGACCCGTTGACGCTGCTCATAGCATGGGGCGGCGATTCCACCGACGATTTGCCAATCAACGCCCGACCGCGACGCATGAGCTGAATCGTCGTCGCGTGGTGGATATGGGCCCGCTCGTGAAGTTCTCGTGTCGAATACATCTTCTCATACAACTCCAGCAAGATCAGAGCCTGGAAGATCCATAGCTTCGCAGGGGGCCGGGCGCCGACGTCTTGAAAGATTTCCCATCGCAAGTGCCAGGCCAGAAAGTTGGAGAGCTTAGCTCCTGCTTTGACAACCTTCGTCCCGTGTGTTCTATCAAGCAAGGCGGCGCCTATTGTCATCATGGACAGGAGGAGGAGGTTCGGTGTGCTGTTCGGCGAGAAAGTTGGCTTGTGGAGGATGGGCAGCTGTTCACTAAAGTGATACCAGTAGGAGCCAATGTAGGCCTGCATCATCCTCTTGCTCAGCATGTGGTTTTCGACAGAACGGTCGCCGTCCAGAATGCTATCGCGGCGGCGGTCGATGGGCGCCTCGTCTTTTTCATGAAAGCGATCTCGAATGAGATCAAACAGCTCTTGGCACTTTTCCTCGGAAATGTCGGCCTCTGGGACATTTT